GGACGATCATTCTAATATGAGATTTGTACACGCACGTTAAAGTGGTGCTACCAATATGGAACTAAAAAGCAAAATCAATTTAAGTATTTCTGACTGCATTTGTGTCAGTTTTGAAAATAAGTCAGTCACCTGAAAGGCACTTCAACAGCTAAGCGTAAACAGGAAACGTGACTCAACCTTGAGCGACCGTTATAGATGCTGATGCCATACCATGCCCTGATCTCTTTGTTTACAGACCAACTGGAGCCTATGCATTTTATGGACGCTTCTATTTTTATTGAATTTCCCATCGTGTAATGATTTATTGTGATGTTTATAAAAATAGCTCTGATTAATTTTTCATGTTCATCAGATGTATTTTAAGTTTATTATCCAGTATCCATTTGCAATAAATTAAAATATCAATGCCCAGATTAAAAAGAAATTATTTTGTCAAATGATATCACTCCCCACAGTTTTGTAATAGGAGCATATGCAGTAATGATCAATACAAACATCTATTGTTACTGGGGAGTGATGTGAAACAGATATCCATTTTATGTTTGTTTGTTTGTTTGTTTGTTTGTTGTTTAACGCCGCATTGAGCAATATGCAAGCTATATGACGGTAGTCTGTAAATAATCGAGTTGTAGCAAGCAAATTCCTGGTTAAACAAATATGTGCATCTAAGGCCATGATGGTGAAAGACAGTTATTATCTATTCTCTGCCTCGCTACATTATCATCTAATAGACCTGATGGGGGTAGCCTTGTGGTTAATTCGTTCACTCTTCACGCCAAAGGCTCGCGTTCGATTCCCCTAATTGGTACAATGTGTGAAGCCCATTTCTGGTGTTCCCTACTGTGTTTGTTGTTTAACGCCGCACTCAGCAATATTCAAGCTATATGACGTCGGTGTGTAAATAATCGAGTCTGGACCAGACAATCCAGTGACTGGCATCATGAGCATCGATCCACGAAGTTGGGATCGATGACATGCATCAACCAAGTCAGCGAGCCTAACCACCCGATCCCGTTAGTCGCCTCTTACGACAAGAAATCGTATCATTAGTATTATGTCAAACTTAACTGGGTTCTGAATAAGATGTATTTGTTCATGATTTCTTTTTTTTCAATGCGCTAAGTGTTTTTCAAACTATTTTTCAGGTACCTATTTCCTTTCCCAGCTGAAGAACATCCTAACTGTTACACACGTGATCATTTTCACATACATGCAGTAAAGCTGCAACTTAATTATCATTTCAAATTTTAATAATTTTCTTTACAACATTGATATGGTCATCTAGCACGTGTTAAGATCTGACCTAGGGACCGATCATTTGATATTCTGGGATGTTATATTGAGACCAAATATTGTTTCAGCTACAGCTGAAAAACCAGATATTTTATTAATTATAACAAAGAGCGAAACTAATTTTTTTTTTTAAAAGCACTATGCAACAAATAAATTTTTTCCTTCAATATGAAGCATAATTATTTCTTTCAAGAATTTTCGGGGACAATTAATTTTATTCGATAAAATCTCGGCCCCTCCCTATACACTTAGTCCTGCCGAACCTTCCTGTCCTGTGAATCATGTCCTTTGACATGTTCACTGATGCATTGATCAAATTGTTGAAACAAATCCCACTGTCTCACATGATTGGTAACTGTGGGTGAAGATAAAATAATTCTTGTGGCCCTTGGAACAATGACATTGTACAATTGTCATATGTACAGAAAAGGATGCTCTGTTTTGAGGTTAAAATTATCATGACATTGTATCACTGCCAAATCACAGTTCGAAACAATATATTGTTGAATGTGGCAGTTGTCAAAACGTACATTGAACCCTTGATAATCAAGCGGAAGGTCGTGGTTCGATCCCTGGCCGGGTCATACCATACGTTAAAAGACGGTTCTTGTTATCCTGTCTGGCGCTCGGCTTTAAAGGGATAAAACAAAGGACTGGTCGGATCGGAGTTAGTACACTGTGTCTGAGTGGGGTATTCGTGTTAAACTGCGGCATGATATCTCAGTGGACTAGCAGTATAAAATAAGCATTAGTCCGGTTTAATACAAGCAGACACACACACACACACACACACACACACACACACACACACGCACGCACGCACGCACGCACGCACGCACGCACGCACATACACATACGTGCATGCCTTTCGATATATAATTGCAATAACCTTGAACACATCGTTTAACGTTTCACCTCACCTCAAGGATGTTCTCAAATCCCCAAATTTAAAATAATCATCAGTAGACATTAATCTTTATACAGAAAAAAAAAATCTACGGTACAGATTTTGAACATTTATTATAGTTTTGAATATTGTGAATAATTGCAAAATTTAGGTTCATATTTAATGATTATGGTTGTCCCATGACTTGTGGCTTTCTTCCGAGTTTGGTGACAGTGTATGAAAACCCTATGGAAAGTTGAGTGGTACAGACGTTTCCATATCTCCAGATGTGTTGTGTATGAAACAAGCCTTACACTGAGGGAGTGAGGGAGTTTGGTTTAAGGCTGCTTTGCACACTATTCCAGTTATATCGCGGGTATCAACTTAGTGGGAGGAAAGCCCGAAGTGATGCAGATCTCAGTCGTTTACCACAGTTATGGAGCTGACATATCCAGAAACATAATCAGGACGAACCTGGATTTGAACCCACGAATATAGGTTTCTGCCGTACCCAAGGGAGGCAACTCAGAACAAAGAATTGAAGTGCCCTACGCCACTAGGCCACACCAGCTCCAAACAAGCCATACAATGGTAAATGGAGAAAAAAACAAATTGATTATTTCTTCATGTGTATTTGGTTCAAAAGTGAGAAACACATAGACACAATGGTTTCTTGCTTGTGTTTTATTCAGAAAATGTCATCAAGTTCACCATGACAAATATCAAAAGTAAAATCTCCATTGTTAATGAATTCAATTGACAGAAATTGTTCCAGACTCAATTTAACAATGTACCGTATTCGTCGTAATAAGCGCCCCTCTTTAATAAGCGCCCGCAGCTATATTGCTAATATATTGGCTAGTGAACAATGCCGATTGATCAATGTACAAAAGACTTATTTATTACGCACACGTGTGTTATATGCACCCTTAATTATGGGCAATTAAATTCTGGAAAAATATATCTGCCGTATATAAACATTTCAGGCTGTCAGCATAAACCACGAAACTTATCTTTCAACTCTTTTTTTTCCACCAAAATAATATTCTAATTACAGCCCCCTATCTCTAATTTTGAAAGCGCCCTGGGTGCTTATTATGTCAAATACGGTATTGTGAGAAAACAAACATGTATTGTTCAGAGAGTAATCTTTCAGTTAAAAGTATTTTTTCCATTCAGAACATTTCAGTTTGTGACTTATAAACCCTCCAAAATCATAAATTTGGTATCCATGACAAACAATTTATTGTTTTGGCCTTAATGGTGTTTCTCAGGCAAATGTTTTCAGGATCAACATGAACCATTGCGAATGTTCAATCATATTGATGGAAGCAGCTTCTATGTTCCTTATTTTGCCAGCTGCCTCTGGTTTAAGTAATAGATACTTTTTCCTTGTAATAAAAATAAATAGAGTTGAATGTTGATGATGCAGCTTGGATTTATCCATATTCTCTCACCTTGTAATATATAATATATTCGACGTAATAAGTGCCCCGCTCTAATAAGCGCCCACGGCGATATTTGCCAATATATTTGCCAATGAACAATCCCAATTAGCACCCTTCCTATTGATCAATGTACACAAGACTTATTTATTAGTGTATAATACACACTTGTGTGCTATATGCACCCTTAATTAAAATCATACACGATGGAAAATTCAATAAAAATCAAGTATTGAGAACATAGGTGATGAATTCATACTATCAAAACCATAATGTATATTTACATCAACAAATAACCGTAAATATGCGTGCCTTCCTTAAATTAATTAAATTTCTGGAAAATATATCTGTTGTGTATGATACGCACAGACTTTTCTTTTGTATCATTTCAGGCTGTCAGCATAAACCATAAAATTTACGATATTGCAACTCTTTCACCAAAACTATATTCTTATTTCTAATTTTGAGAGGGCCCTGGGCGATTATTATGTCGAATACGGTACATATAATATGAAAAGGTCAACTTTCATGAAGGTGAGTTGACCAGCTGTTTGCGTGATATTGACAGGTATGTTACATATTATGCTTGGCATATTAAAATCTACTGCAGATGTCCTGTGTTTTTCTCACTACCAAGTACAGTTCAGCGTTTGGACTAAAATATTGCCAACAAATAGATACTTTGTTCATCAGATATTGCTTTCCAAAAGTGACAAATGTTGAATTAAAGTTTTGAAATGATTAACATTTCTTTCTCATTTAAACAGATTGATTTTTTTTTTATCTGTTCTCTTTCCATATCAGAACAAGTCAATATTGTTGTCTTCAGATTTTGGTTGTTTCTCATTCCCAAATTATGGCCCTAAACTTGTTGACATGATTATTAGGGCAAGGGAGGTATTTCAGAATTTAATGATAATACCTGTTCATGGAGAGATTAATACCATCCAAACTGTTTTGATTTATTTTAAAAATTAAATTTAAAAACAAAAAAGAAAGAATTAGTTTGTTGTGGCCTTATCAAGACTTGATCCTGAGTCTTGCTTGAAACCTGTACTTCTCAACAACACTGTATGCAGTTCTTGAAGCATTAGGGGTCAGTGTGCAGAGTTGCATCCCTTGGACACACCAGAAACCTATGATTGTTGGTTCGAATTCGGTTCGCCCCGATAATGTTTCTAGGTTTGTCAGCACCATACCCGTGCTCGTGGGTTTCACCAAAGTGGTAAACATCTAAGACATGCATCACTTCGGGCTTTCTTCCCACATTAAGCTGACACGCCATGATATAACTGGAATGCTGTTAAAAGCAGCATTAAACCCAACTCACCCACTCACTCACTCCCGATTGAAGCACCATACAAAGACAGACAACCTTTTGATTTTCAAACTTGTTTTAATCAGTTGGTTTGTATCATTAAACAGACATTGTGGCTCCTCAGGCAATCATTAAATAAACAATATCCTCATTCACACCTACACAACAGAAACATGGGACATGAACACACCCACAGCCCAAGTGACACGGTCTCCAAGGGATACAGATTAACTGTTAGTGTAAGACATTAAGAGCACTATCATTGACTGAATGAGTATATTGTCTGCATTGTTAACAACAGGAGCCTGATTGTGATATTCGTGTCGCAAACATTTATCATGATGACAATATTTGTATATTTCAAAGTTGCAACATGTGTTAATAAATTCATCACTTTCATATTTATGCATCTCATGCAATTCTGTTGCACTATGGATGACTAGAATTGTGATTTGTGCAGCAGAAGCAGGTGGGAGAATAAGTTTGATGGTTGTTTCGAAGGTTACTCCATGTTAACAAGCTGGATGCACCATTCATGTTAAACTGGAGGAACCATCCATGTTAACAAGCTGGAGGTACCAAACCTGTTAACAAGCTGGAGGAACATCCATGTTAACAAGCTGGAGGAACCATCCATTCTAATAAACTGGAGGATCCATCCCTGTTAACAATCTGGAGGAACCAAACCTGTTAACAAGCTGGAGGAACATCAATGTTAACAATCTTGAGGAAGCATCCATGTTAACAAGCTGGAGGAACCATCCATACTAATAAACTGGAAGATACATCCCTGTTAACAAGCTGGAGGAACATCCATGTTAACAAGCTGGAGGAACATCCATGTTAACAAGCTGGAAGATCCATCCCTGTTAACAAGCTGGAGGATCCATCCCTGTTAACAAGCTGGAGGAACCAAACCTGTTAACAATCTGGAGGAACATCCATTTTAACAAGCTGGAGTAACCATCCCTGTTAACAAGCTGGAGGAACCATCCCTGTTAACAAGCTGGAGGAACCCAACCTGTTAACAATCTGGAGGAACATTCATGTTAACAAGCTGAAAGAACAAACAAAGTTAACATGGAAGCTTCAAAGTTAACATATATGTAGCCTGGATGTTTCTATGTTCTTAATGGCACTACGTAAGTATCAGTATCATCAATGTTATCTCTAACCAAGAATGTACACCATCAAAGTTAGGGTGAACTGTGGTCTTGTTACTTTCAGAAACCTTATCCACTGATACAAAGTACAAACATTTACAATGGTTCCCCACTAACAAAGTACACAGGGTGAACAAGTACCATGATATTATGCATATATTGTTAATATGTACTTAGACACAAAGTCCATTTTTTTACTATGTACCATGATACAGTATTATGATTACAAAGTCATTATGTATCAATACACATACTTTGCTTACAATGTCAATATGTATCAAGACACACATACTTTGCTTACAATGTCAATATGTATCAAGACACACATACTTTGCTTACAATGTCATATGTATCAAGACACACATACATTGCTTACAATGTCATATGTATCAAGACACACATACTTTGCTTACAATGTCAATATGTATCAAGACATATACTTTGCTTACAATGTCATATGTCTCAAGACACACATACTTTGCTTACAATGTCAATATGTATCAAGACACATATACTTTGCTTACAATGTCAATATGTATCAAGACACACATACTTTGCTTACAATGTCAATATGTATCAAGACATATAATTTGCTTACAATGTCATATGTATCAAGACACACATACTTTGCTTACAATGTCATATGTATCAAGACACACATACTTTGCTTACAATGTCATATGTATCAAGACACACATACTTTGCTTACAATGTCATGTCTCAAGACACACATACTTTGCTTACAATGTCAATATGTATCAAGACACACATACTTTGCTTACAATGTCAATATGTATCAAGACATATACTTTGCTTACAATGTCATATGTATCAAGACACACATACTTTGCTTACAATGTCATGTCTCAAGACACACATACTTTGCTTACAATGTCAATATGTATCAAGACACACATACTTTGCTTACAATGTCAATATGTATCAAGACATATACTTTGCTTACAATGTCATATGTATCAAGACACACATACTTTGCTTACAATGTCATATGTATCAAGACAAATACTTTGCTTACAATGTCATATGTATCAAGACACACATACTTTGCTTACAATGTCATTATGTATCAAGACACACATACTTTGCTTACAATGTCATATGTATCAAGACACACATACTTTGCTTACAATGTCAATATGTATCAAGACATATAATTTGCTTACAATGTCATATGTATCAAGACACACATACTTTGCTTACAATGTCATATGTATCAAGACACACATACTTTGCTTACAATGTCATATGTATCAAGACACATACTTTGCTTACAATGTCACATGTATCAAGACACACATACTTTGCTTACAATGTCATATGTATCAAGACACACATATTTTGCTTACAATGTCAATATGTATCAAGACACACATACTTTGCTTACAATGTCAATATGTATCAACTATCAAGACACACATACTTTGCTTACAATGTCAATATGTATCAAGACCCAAGTAGCTTTGCTTAGAGTGTCAATATGTATCAAGACACACATACTTTGCTTACAATGTCATATGTATCAAGACACACATACTTTGCTTACAATGTCATATGTATCAAGACACACATACTTTGCTTACAATGTGAATATGTATCATAACACACATGGTTTTTTTCATATAATGTCAATATGTACCATGACACAAGGACTAAGCTTACAATGGCACTACCAGTATGGACCATGACACACATACTTTGCTTACAATGTGAATATGTACCATGACACACATACTTTGCTTACAATGTCAATATGTACCATTACACACATACTTTGCTTACAATGTCAATATGTACCATGACACACATACTTTGCTTACAATGTGAATATGTACCATGACACACATACTTTGCTTACAATGTCAATATTACCATGACACACATACTTTGCTTACAATGTCAATATGTACCATGACACACATACTTTGCTTACAATGTCAATATGTACCATGACACATATGACTTGCTCAAGACATCCAGGTGTACAACCTAGGCAGATCCAGAGGGAGTCCAGGGGGTCCAGACCCACCATTTTGAAAACCAAAATTTAGTATGTTGTAGGCAGTAAAACTGACTGAGAGAGGATTTTGATATTTTGGATCCCTCCCATATTAAAATGCTGGATCCACCCTTGTACAATATACAGTGACAAATGTTATAGGATCTGGCACTTCAACACTACATGTGAAGTATGGCAAAAAGGTAATATGCATACAGCAGAAAAGTACAAAACATCACGACAGCCAGTGAATGTGACACACCATAGACATCTGCTATGAAGACAGGCATTTCTGCATTGGACAACTTCTACATTGTTTGAAAAGTATTTCAGGGTTACACATCCCATCATCAGGTCCAGTGCTGAAGTAACACATGTTATGTTTACATACAGACAGCTGCTCAAGATAGACACACTTTCCACACCGTCCGTGCAAGCACCTGCAGATGGCATGCCACTTCACTCGCGTGTCTCTGATGGCAGACGATGTGAACTTTATACAATGATATCATGAGTCGGCAAGAACAGCACGATGACAACAATGACAGTATGATGACAACAACGACAGTATGATGACAACAACGACAGTATGATCACATCAGCAGCTACATGACACAGTTTTCCAAGCCTTGCTTCTGACTAGATCACCTGACTCTGTTTCCGTTGTGAGTGAGTTTTGGTTTAATGCTGCTTTGAACAGAATTTAAGTTCCACAGACTGTGTGAGGGAAGTCCAGATTCCTTATATGTTTACCATTTTGATGAAACACACAAGCACAATTAAGTAACGTGCCAGAGATTAAAAGGATTTACAATTTTTAGTTGAAATGTAATTGACTAAATCTGCTGTGATTCAAAGAGCCATTATAAACTGTTGAGTCAAAAGAAAGTATAAACCCATGTTTGATGGTGGCTAAAATGAAACAAACAAAAAATGGTTATCTGAAGGTGATGTATTTGACACAGGCATCAGATCTTACGTTTGCAGTGATTTCTGTAACTGTTTTCTGCCTAGTAACGTTTTAATAATGTTATAATTGTTTGGTTATATTCAATTTTCAGGTGTATACAATCTTTTCCCTGGCGTTTTAGAAAGCCAACAACATGTTTTTATCTGCTTCTTTGGTAAGTAGGTGTTTCCTGGAGCAATATTCCCCTACAACTGATACAATATTGAGAGCCGTTGTATTGGCTGACAGAGCCAGGTGAGAATTGTCGCGTAAAGACTTCCGCTGTGCACCCAAATACAACACTTTTCTATTACTTGATTTACAGATAAGCCATTCCAAACTTCCACAAATGTGGAACAGTATTCGTCATCCAACCCACTGAATTTGTGAACATATTTCAGCAATAAATGAACTCCAAAAAGGTTGTTCTTTTATCTTTTAACAAACACTACAAGCAATATTTTCCTCATTTCAGTTTTTCTTCTTTACCCTATAAACCATCCAGGCTATCTTTCCGAAATCATAAAAAAGATATTTTGACTTTCAACATTTGACAACCTTTGGATTTGAAGAAAACACTAAAAATCAAGTAATAAACACCAAAATAGCTTTATACAGTCCAGCACTATTACATAATAGCAAAACCAGGATGGTTCAAGCAAAAACTGTTTTAGAGACTTGACATAAATCATAACATATCATGGAATACACTGTGATGTTGCCATTTATATGAGTACCACACATAACATGTCGACTAGTTTTGTAACATATCTACACATTTACATGCAATAATATATTGCGTGGTGGATGGAAATAATTGCATATCATTAATAAAGTATTTCAATGATAAGTATGATTTAATCAGCTGTATGCTAAGGTATGCTTCCCAAAGATGCCATCATGTCAAGGTCCAAAACAGTCAAAGAGGGGACTTTGTGAAGTCACAACCAAAACGATGAAATCTTTGTGAAGCAAATCCAGAGTGAACGGATCATGGTGGAACATCATGAACATCATGAACATCGTCTGATGAACATCACATGACAGACAACAGACTGGAAGAGCTACATAGATTTTGATTGGATGTGAGAAGTGTTTGTTGCCTTTGGTGTCTCCATAGCAACATCAGCCTTGAGCTCCCAACATCCTTACCACCATAAATAATACAAAATCTGCAGTAATAAAGTCATTCCTAACTAAAAATTTAATGAGACAATTTTAATTTTTTGCCTTTTGGGGAGCAGATGGTAGGTTTGTATTGCCCTTGTCATTTTGAGAGATTGTTAATAAGTAACTGGTGTCTACAGATTTACAATGAACAAATTCTTAAAAACTAGTTCTGAATTTATATAAGTAGACAATGTATTTTTAACTGTTTAATTTTTGGAGTAGACATAGGAATAGTGAGTGAGTATGATGTTACGTCGCTTTTCGCAATATTCCAGCAATATCTTGGCGGGGACCTGAAGTTTAATGGGCTTCACACATTGTACCCACATGGGAAGTAGACATAGAACTGGATTGGCCAGTTGAACATTGAGCTCTAGTGGATATGATTGATCAATGAAGACATCCAGTTCATGAATGAAAATCATTTAGTTGATCATTTTGTACCGGGGGACAAAAAACAATGTCCTAACAGAAAAATAATATCAGTATTCACAAAATAATGAAAGACATGGGAAAATCTATCATTACCATTTTTCTCCAGATCTACCCTTGTCAGATGCATCTTACAAATAGACACATTTTATAAAAAATTATAGAAAATATTAACATTAAAGAAAATTAATTTTCCAATTGTGTGATTAATATCAGAATTGGGTAAATGCCAAAGAATACAATATAACATGTTGAAAAAATTGTCTCTTTAAGTTAACAATAACTGTAAACAGTGGTATAATTAATTGTCAATTACCTTTTAATTTTTTTTCAGTGGCCTAAATATTTAAATTGAAAACATTTACCGTAGTAATTGCCCTATCATTAGTAAAACAAGACACACAAGGGTTGATGGTACAACCACAGAACTGACTCCTGGAGAATCTTTCTTGGCAGGTCCTGACCTGCTCTCATCAGAGCTGCCCGTCATGTACGGTGTTTCTACACGATTCTCATTCGTATCAATATCTACTTTATCATTGTCATCGACATTGCTCACATCCATATTGTTATCCACTTCATTCATCATTACATCCTTGTCTTCATTGTATCGTGGCTTCTCCTTCCTGTGTTTCTTGCCCTTCTTCTCTTTATGTTTCTTGTTCTTTTGTTTCCTTGAGCCGCCGTCGGAATGGCCGACTTCCTTGTCCTTCTTGGCCTTCTTCCTGTGTCCGCCGCCGCCACCGCCACCGGCACTGCTGCCGAAGCCGATTGTTGTTTCATCTACAGTGAAACCTGCTTCTGTCACTGTGTCCAAATCTGGCATCTCATCAACTCTACCTGGAATACAAATCAGATATTTTGGAGTAAGCGCTTAGTCATTTCTTAGTTATATCTGTGTTTAGGATCCAGTTTCTTCAAAATGGGAACAATTTTGTTTTTCCTGACTTGTAAGTTCTGTCTTACACCTTACATATTTTGGTCAGGAATGTTGATATTGAAAGGGAAGAAACACTTTGATATGTCATCCCATGAAGGTTGGATACAAAGGCCAACTACTACTACTACTACTACTACTACTACTACTACTACTACTACTACTACTACTACTACTACTAATCAGGATGTTGTTACATTTATTATATATTAGAATGTTGTAACTTATCTTTTGTATGTGTAAATATTATTGCAACTAACACCAAACACTAAATGAGAGCCACACTCTCAAAATATGAAAAATATCCCTTAATCTAGTCCATGGTGTGATCCTAATTAGGCAATGGGCCATTAGGCCTAATAAGGATTCTAATTAACAGGTTCTGCACTGCATCAATCCTCTTTTTAGTCCAAATTTTCGTATGTACCCATGTCGGGAATCAAACCTGGGTCTTCGGCTTGACGAGGGAACGTTTTAACCACTAGGCTACCCGACCGCCCCTGTTGTATTGTGTACTTTAGACATTCACGATCTTAATCTCACGAATATACATATTTATTTCCTCTTACCTTCCACCTTGACATCTTCCCGATCATCTCCATGAGGGTTAGTGGCAACGCAGGTGTAGTAATAGAATGGTTTGTTACCAAGCTTCATGATGTGGAGACGCAGTTCAATGGTGCTGTTGCCGACGTAGTTGACATCAATGTGGTGATTGTAATCGTTCTTTATCTCGATACCATTTTCCATCCACATTGCAATGCCTTGTGGGAAGGAAGTTATCTGACACTTCAGCACCTTGCCTTCATCTTCGTCCTCATCCTCTTCATCCATATCACCAACAAGAGTCACCCTCGGAGGGTCTAGTTGCAAAAATGTAACATTTTTTTAATGATAATCTCTATATATTGTCTATGTATATCTATCAGTACAGACCAAAACAGGAAGAAATTCCATACTTGGCATTATATTTCAGATGATTTTTGTGGTATCTGGATAATATCAGAAGAGTCAGGGATGCTTAAAGCTCTCAACGCTACTGTCGAACCAGTTCGACAGAGTGTGTCACTAGCCGTGTTGCTACTGTCGAACCAGTTCGACAGGCGAATAGCATAAGGACATCCATAAACAAAACATCAAGAAATCTTTACATAGTAATGTGTATATTTCTATCAGGAATAAATGTGCAAAGTATTTCTTCAATTGGACCCTGTATAATGAAGCACCAACTGTTTGAAATCACCCGCCCTCTTTACAGCGCCTTATGCTAAAATTAATCCAGCAGGCAGGGCTAAGAAGTGTGAAAACAATTCAGCAGGCTAAAGGTTAAACAAATCATAAACATGTTATGGGTGGATTTGACAAAAAATGACAGTTATTTCTACATTGAACTATTTGGGATTTAAAAGAATTGATTACTACTCTAAGGGAGGAGCATGAAAAAAGACAAGTACTTTTGGGGACACATGAGAGGACCTTTTGAGGGATCAACACTGTTAAACATTACCCAAAGTTGTATACTTACATTCAACTGTCACTGCGATGAGGTTGGAGTTCGGGCCGACCATGGACTCAAAGCCGTTGGTGGCCACACACTTGTAGACTCCCTTGTCCATCTTGGACACTGAAGGGAACACAAGCTCCTGGCCCTCCGACACTAACACAGAAACACATTAGAGCATCAGTGGAGGAAGCTCTATGCCACACTTTATGATTTTGTTTGTTTGTTTGTTGTTTAACGCCACACTCAGCAATGTTCCGGCTATATGACGGCGGTCTGTAAATAATCCAGTCTGGACCAGCCAATCCAGTGATTGATATCATGAGCATCAATCCACGCAATTGGGATACAATGACATGCATCAACCAAGTCGGCGAGCCTGACCACCTGATCCCGGTAGTCGCCTCTTACAACAAGCATAGTCACCTCTTACGGCAAGCATGGGTTGCTGAAGACCTATTCTACACTGGACCTTCATGGGTTCCACACTTTTTTAGGAGAATCTCACTCTTAGGAGCAACATGCGTGAACAAGGTTATAACAAACATGGACTGCTCTGATAAAACAGGAAATTCAATATATTCTTAAATATAAGATAGCTATGCGAAAAATCACAAAAAACCCAATGAAGACCGAAATGTTGTTTATTTCACGATAAAATATTTTTCTATTATGACGTCAAACATGCGCTCACAACTTGATGACGTCGTATATTGGACATTATTTTTGAGAGGTGAGTGTCAAGTGAGTTATTCCCCATGGATGTCTCCAGGCAACACAGACTAACGCGATGGCCGAATAATTGCATCCAAAAGCGGGAGAGATATGAACTGGGAGAAAAGGTACAGGTAATCGACGTGAGGATTGACTGCAACTGTGGACAATCTTATGTAGCTGAAACATCCCGCCCCATCGACACCAGAATCAAAGAGCACAAAACCTCAACCATCAAATCAGACAGTAAATCAGCCATTTCGGACCATATCCGCCGTCGCATCGCTGAAACTCCTCTTGAAACTAGCCTATCCACAGAATCTATCATCACCCTCACCACCGCCTGTATCTCCTCTACCTACTTCACCCAGGGGGATGAGTACTACCAAGTACACATACATACACGGCCTACCCATGGGATCCCCATGGGATCCCCACTCCCTCCCATCCCTACTGAAATCTACATGACCTTCTTCGAACAGCAAGCCCTCACCACATCACCCATCCAACCTATTTGCTGGTACAGGAAAGTTGACGACACCTTTGTCATCCTAAAACAAGACCAAAACCCAACCCTGCTACTACAACATCTTAACCAACAACACACAGCCCCCCACCCCCGAGTACAGTTTACCATTGAAATAGAAAAGAACAAGCAACTACCCTGCCTAGATGTCCTCGTCTCCAGAACCCCAACAAACAGAATCCAAACCAGTGTCTACCGAAAGCCCACCCACACCGACCAGTATATCCATTTCAACTCCAACCACCCCCTTAGAACCAAGACTGGTATCATCTCCACCCTCACTAAACGAGCCATCAACCTTTCTTCTGCTGACCCCAAACCCGAGATCGAACACCTCGGCCAAGTCTTCACCCAACTCAACAATTATCCACCCAATCTCGCTGACAAAGTCATCTCCTCTGTACTCCATCCCATACCCAGATCTGCGACCCCTAAACCTGAATCAACGCCCTTCCGCATCGCCCTCCCATACATAGGAAAAGCCTCCCACATCACCAGCCGCCTCATCGAACAGCTTGCCAATATTGACACCCACTTCACCAGCTCCAACTCCCTCAACACCCTGCTAAGAGCCAATGGCAGAAACACAACCAAACCTCAAGAGCCTGAAGGTGTAGTTTATAAAATAAACATCAACTGTGGACAATCTGACACAGGTGAAACATCCCGCTCCATCAACACAAGAATAAAAGAGCACAAATAATTTGTGTCTACTTTTACTTCTTAGGGCTTTGAAAACACAGTACGCGAGGATACTGTATTAATAAATTCATAAATGTTCTAAACTGGAGTGGAGTCGTCCCAAAGATTAGATACATCTTTAGCATCCCTTGTGGCCACAGGTGGCCCAATGGTTTCTCTGATGGTCAAAATCCCAGTTCAAATCCCAGATTCTACCCAGTTATCATCTTTATTCTGTCAGCAAAAATTACCAAAAACTCTGGCTTTCACAAATGTGGTAACAATTACCCGCATCATTTTGGGTTCACCTTCCACAAAAAAATGCCTTGCCTATATTGGACTGCATGAAGACATGCATTCACCCAACTCTCTCAGCACTCCCAGCTTGCACTCTTTGCCACACACACACAACTCACCCAGGACTTCCCTTGGCACTTCCAGTGACTGGACATCCATGTTTTCAGTCATCTTGTACCAGGAGACAGTTGGTGCTGGGACGCCCAATACATCACAGGTCAAGGTCAAGGACTTCCCTTCCAGCACTGATGTGTCAGGAGAAGACAACTCTGACCGAACTACAGCAGGACCTAACAACAGCAACAGTAGGATATATTGTCATACAACTTGACTTGGGGAGACAAATCCAGGTGTGAAAAGTCCCCATTTGAATAATAGTCCTGAAAGAAGGACTGACACTCTGTGTAAAGTGTCTGAAAACAGGTGAGATGGGCACACCCTGGACCCACCCCTGGAACTAACAGGTTCATGTACATTCTTATCTATTATCTTCATACAAGCTACAAAATAAAATAAAGGAAAAATTGGCATAGATTATGAAATGGGCACTTGCAAATAAGCCCACTATATCAGTGAGTGAGTGAGTAGGTTGGGTTTAATGCCGCTTTTAACAGTATTAGTTATATCACGGCGTGTCAGCTTAATGTGGGAGGAAAGCCCGAAGTGATGCTAGTCTCAGACATTTACCACTTCGGTGAAACCCACAAGTACGGGTATGGTGCTGATACACCTAAAAACAAAATTGGGGCGAACCGGGATTGGAACCCACAATCGTAGGTTTCTGGCATGCCCAAGGTATGCAACTCTGCACAGAGAATCACGGGGCCTTAGACGACTGGGCCAACCGTGGCGCCCCCCCCACTATATCAATTACTTAAACATATTATTCACACCCTGTATGAGGTGAAGAGAATGTTTTTTTGTTAGCTGTTAACAATTTAATTATTTTGTCTGATCTAAGACATAATGCAGGCAAAATACTCTCCAAAACACTTCCTATCCCTGTCCATTTCTGTCCAACCTTCAGTCTATCGTAGGGTTATACATGAATTTACAGGGCCATATAAAATAAGTTTGTTTAAGTCAGATAAAACAAAAAAGGGACAAATTAATTTTTTATCTTTTTTATCTTAATGAATATTTGAGTAGGCAGATCTATGATTCAAGTAATGAAAATGAATGAATGTATTTTCAATTATGAAGGCGTATTCCTGCTTTTTCACAGTGGCCTGAAAAATGTCAAGGCAAGCAAACAATTCATGCTGTCTTGGAATAGTGGCTAACAGCCAGGTACCCTAGCATGACCACCCCATCCTCAGATATTTACTCCTTAAGACAAGTGGGTATGGGTAGCCCAGTCATCTAAGGTGCCCCAATTCACCGTGCAGAGTTGCATCTTTTTGGCATGCCAGAAAGTAATGATTGTGGGTTCGAATGCCGGTTCACCCGATTATGTTTCTCAGTTTGTCAGCACCATACCCGTGCTCGTGGGTTTCACGAAAGCGGTAAACATCTAAGACCTGCATCACCTGCTTTCCTCCCACATCAAGCTGACACGCTAACTTGAATAGCGTTCAAAGCAGCGTTAGACTCAACTCACTCACTCTTTAAGACAAGCACAGAGTGCTGGGAAGCTAGTCCGACTCTGGATACTTGCACAGGAAAAGGATTTAAAAAATATTGTGGTGTTGCTATGCAATGGACAAGGGCTGGGACGGGTAACTCTGATACCTTGGTCAGGTGGTCCTGGGTAGGACCCGGGTACCCACAGGACTACACGGACCTGTGGTTAGTCACGTGATATATATTGTTTGATGACAAATATTATCTAAAACTCTATGGTTACACTACAAGTCACTAATAGCCCATTTCTTTCTGACAATGCACCCAGACTTTTATATGTTTGAATAAAGATAAAACTTCATGCATTAAACTTCAGTGTATGCATGAGCGGATCGTCTTACATGTGTATCTAAATACATTTTGCCAGGGCTACGGTCAAACTTTTCCTATCTCTAAATATCTACAGCGGGTACCCGGGTAGGGTCGGGTAATAGGGTGGTGGGTACCCGGGTAGTAAATTTCGACCCGTCCCAGCCCTACAATGGACTCACTGTTGAGTGTGACGGTCTCTTCATTAGATCCTCTATCATTGACAGCCCGACAGGTGTAATCCCCAAAGTCTTCAGTTCTCAGGTCATGGATGTCTAATGTCAAGGTGAACAACTTCTCCTCGTTGCGCATCTCTGCCTTGTACTTGGCGTTATACTCAACCTTTGTGTTGCCTCTGTACCACATGACATCCCCGAGGGGCTTGGTGACCACCTGACACTCCAGCCTTGTGTTCCGGCCCATCTCCTGGGTGATCATCTTGCCCTGTACAGACACTTCAGGGGAATCTGAGGGAAAAACAAAGGTTACATTTTTTTAATGTTCTTAAGGAAGAGGTCCACCTCCATGGTCTAGTGGATAGAGCTTCTGCCCCGAGAGCGGAAGGTTGGTGGTTGATCACCAGCCTTGTCATACCAAAAGTAATATTCTGTGTTGGAGTGGGTTATTAATGTTACATTGCATCTCAGTGGGCTAGCATTATCAAACTGGCATAAATCTGGATAACTACAAGCAGACTCACAGACACAGACACAAACACAGACACAGACACAGACACAAACACAGACACAGACAAACACAGATAAACACAGACAAACTCACCCGCGCACAGACAAACGCATGTTCACACAGACAAATGCACGCGCGCACAGACAAACGCACGCGCGCACAGACAAACGCAAGCACGCACAGACACATGCACGCGCACGCGCACACACACACACACACATGCATGCCCTTCGATATATAAGTGTGATATCACTATGTATGCCTTATTGCAATAATCTTGAACACAATGTTAAACCCCATTTCTCTTGACCACCTTGAGTAGAAAGTGGATGCTACAGAAAGTTTTGATTTTGGGGTGTTGAGGTACCTAGTGGTTAAAGCATTGGTCTGTCACACCAAAGATCCAGGTTTGATCCCTACATTGGTTTAATGTGTGAAACTCATGTTTGGTGTCCCAAATCTTAATATAGTTGAACATTGCAAATCTCTTACTATAAATTGTCTACTTGGTACTTTGTTGTTGGTGCACAGTGTTTGGAAGAAGGATTACATGTTAGAGGATCATGAGTCTTTCCATCTTCCGGAAGCAAGGGAGTTAACTGACCAGTAAAAGACCAGTTTCCACCTTTGCCAAGCTAGGCTGGATTTTCTGGGCTTGATTGTAGCACCACCAGTGGCTATTACAAAATGTCTTCCTTCTATGTCCCTCCTATTGACCAATCAGTTTCCACCTCTCATATAACTTGTATTTGCTTCAAACAACATGCCGGTGCCCAGTCAACACAATCTGATATTGTCATAAAATGTATCTTACTTTGTGAAGTACATCAAGTCATGTGAACACCATGAAAAGATGTGAAAAACATGAAAAGATTTGGCAAAAATCTGTTGACACCAAGTTGGCGATACACATGCTTTGCAAATCCAACAATCTACCGAAATCTGCATGCCAGTCTATGACCGGGATGTCAATTTCATTACACGATTTTGATTGGACTTTTCATAGACTTGTTAGTCCAGGCCAAATTATAACTCCATAATTCCAGCTTAGTTTGGCAAGGGTGGAAACTGGACTCAGTTAACTCCCTAGCCGTGGGAAGATGGAGCCTTTTATGATTTCCAGGTTTGATTTCTCTGCATGGTACAATATTTCAAGTCCACTCTGTGCCTTCCCTCTCTCATCCTCTCCTCACTCCCATCTCTGCTCTCTCTCACCTTTCTCTCACTCACTTACTCACATGGACATAAAATCAAGCGTCTGTTCGTGAAACTTACATTCAACAACAACAGCCATCTTCATCTTCAAGGTCTCCCCATATTCATTGCGTGCCTGACAGTAGAAGTCACCATCACAGTCCCGCCTCACCCCGGTCAGATTCAGGTACTGCCCCGTGTGATTCACACCTGTAACCAAACAACACCTGTGTCAGGACAAACCATGTTGTTAACAAACATTGTGATCTTGATAAAATAAGGGGGCATGGGTGGCCCAGTCTTCTAAAGCGCCTCGATTCTCTGTGCAGAAACTTATGATTGTGGGTTTGAATCCCAGTCGCCCCGATTATGTTTCTAGGTTTGTCAGCACCATACCCATGCTCGTATGTTTCACTGAAGTGGTACACGTCTGAGACCTGCATCACTTCAGGCTTTCCTCCAATGTTAAGCTGACACGCCATGATATAACTGGAATACTGTTAAAAGTGGCGTTAAACCCAACACACTCACTCACTCTTGATAAAATACTGGTTGCATCCCGCCTTGGAGGGGAATAAATTTCCTTTGCGGGAGAAGAAATCTCTTACACTCCGCCACAAGCAAGTCAGGCTGCGCGAGGATTTCTGAGAGGCAGAAGAAATCCTTTATACCCTGCTTCAAAGCAAAAAGCTGCACGCTTTTTCTGAGTCAATGGAAGTCACATGACATAACCCAAGCTAACCTCCGCTCAATCGAACAGCTGTTTTCTGTCAATTTTTAATTTGTTGGACTAAATTAAAAACCGCTGTAGCATGATCACTTTTTATTGGGTTACATACTCGTTTGAACAAGCAAAAAAACAAAACAAAAAAACACTGCCCGCCTGCACTATATTTTCAGAAGTCATTGCCTGAGAACCAGTTCTTTTATTTCTTTAAGCCTAAGATGATTTTCACCCCATATCCACAATTCCAACACAGGGAATCTCATATCTCTAATGCAATACACACAGATTATCACATTCATACATGCATCATCTTTCTTTATGTAATGTGAGTCAGAGTTTTTGTATTTCCCTCATAAAGTTATTTTTTTAATTATCCACACTCAGTGATCAGCAGTGAGGAAGATGTCTGCAGTGGATCGTGGTTATAACAAACTACTTCAAAAGCCCAGAATGCTTTACTTTATATCATCATTCAAAACGCATGCCAGTCACAAATTCTGTATAATAAACTAACAGCTGATGTTTCAGGCCTAATAACAATATTTTTGTTCGTGAGAAATGAGTATGGTGAAACTCAGTGTTGTATACTCCCCAGGGAGATGAGAATGAAAATCGAGTGCGCTCTGATCCATGACCAGTGTGACAAGTGTACAGTCGATGAAGTCATCTATATCCCCTGCCCATTTTACACGTTATGGTCCAAACTGGTAAGAAGTAACTGACCCAACATTTCTCTTAGCCCATGTCAAAATAGCTGCAATGGAAATTCTAAAATAAACATTTCTAAAACTCCTTAATATCAAATGGCACCAGTTCTGTTCAGTATGTGCTTTATATATAGACATGTAATTTTTGGCAAGGAAATATTTAACAGTTTATTTGTTATACTCCATAAGTGAACCCACCATATATTGAAATTTTAAATCCAACTTGTTGCCATGGAAATGTAAAAATAAAAATGTCTAAAAGTGCTAAATATGAAAAGGCACCAGTTCAGTATGTGCCTGGTAGACATGCAAAGTTTTGCTAGAAAATATTGAATGGGTTTTGAGTTATGCTCCGGAAATGAACTCTACCCTATAGAACCTAAGTCCAACTTGTTGCCATGGAAACGTAAAAAATTAAAATTTCTAAAATTCCGAAATAGCAAAACTATTAAACAGTTTCTGAGTTATGCTCCGGAAACTATTTTGGGACGCACACACGCACACACGCACACACGCACGGATGGACAGAACCCAATAATGTAGCTCTTTGAGAATGCTTTAGGGTGCAGATTTGGTGCATTATTAATCTGCACATAATTAATTTTATTATTAATCCTACAGATAATGACTACCTATGAGACTGCAGTTGTTGCTCTCTCCCACTGACCACATGACCTGGGGGGCAGGTGTTCCCCCAGCCACACACTCCAAGACAGCATTCTGACCCTCTTCAATATTGATGTTGTCTGAGGTGGAGACCATATAGGCTGGTACTGTAAAAAATAAACATAATCACACTTTTTAATATTTCGATCAACAAAAACCAAAAACCAAAAACAACAATCGTAAAGAAACATTTTGCTTACATATATTTCTGTTAGCTTGACTGCTCTATATAATATCAGTAAGGAATGGCTACAATTAGTTGTCATGGATTGAAGTTTGACTTTAACTGATAAAAAGATATAGATACAATTGATGAACATTATATTTTTCAGTTTTGTGGGTGTATTATCTTCAAATGTAACGCTTGTGCACTTAACACTGAGGGAACTTCATGATAAGTCCACCATTATCAGGAAGCGTTGTATGGACCATGCTGCCCTGACACCCAAAGGAGTGAGTGAGTATTTTTTTATGCCGCTTTTAGCAATATTCCAGGAATATCACGTCGGGGGACACCAGAAATGGGCTTCACACATTGTACCCATGTCGGGAATTGAACCCGGGTCTTCGGTGTGATGAGGGAACACTTTAACCACTAGGCTACCCGGCTGCCCCTGCAGTCAAAGGAGGCCATGAGGTAGCCATGAGGTAGCCATGAGGTATCTATGAGGTATCCACATGTGTACAATGTGAGAAACCACAGACCTAAATATATATATTATGTTCGTTTATAATATGAAACCCATTTCTGGTATCCCCACCTCGATATTGCTGGAATTTTACTAAAAGCGGCGTAAGACCGAACTCACACACTTACTCATGCTGGCAACTTACCCACTACTGACAGTATAACTTGTCTACTGATGTTGTGTGTATCTATGGCAACGTTGCAGGTGTACACCCCAGCATCCGACTCCATCACCTCCCCCAATATCAGGTCCCACTGATTGTCGGTAGAGTGCTCTATACTAATTTTGGTGTTATTTGCGTCCAAAACATTTGTTCCAACCGTCAGTATGCCCTCGCTGTTCGTCCAGCTTATCTGATTAAACAAACATTGTTCAAATATATTTGACAGACAGATATATTTTAATGAATTATAATTATAAAATGAATGGATATTATTATTTAGCAGATGGAATGGAATGTGTTTCATATTGACCTTTAAATGGGACACTAACGCCCCAAAATGCACATCAAAAGCACCAAAATCACAGTCAATGAATGGATTTAGATTTTCGGTTCATTGAAATATTTTATATATAATACAAATTAACTCAGATTTTTAATTTTTTAATTTTTTCAGATTTCCTCTTGGATAAGAATTCTACCTCATTTATCACTCAGATGTATGGATTATCTGTCAAGATGAATTGATTGTGTAAGTCCTCATAATTAAGGTATTGACAAGAAATAGCTGAAACAACCAAAAACAACCATCTCACCATCCTGGAACCAAGATTGTATGCGGTACAGGACAAGATGGCCGACTCGCCTTCCTCTACCACCACAGTAGAGACAGACTCGTTGAGATACGGCACCGCTGGCCTGAGCTCTGTAGGGAATTAAAGCACACCTGTAGCATACATCCATGCTCATATCTACCCATTGTCTTTTTCATACCTTTAAACTCAACAGTAAGCTTATTTCATGACTTTAACATACATGCCATTTATCTGTGTCATAACTTTATATTTTTAGCTCATATTATTCCTGATGTTATGATACATGAATTGTCTATTTCATATCTTGATCACACATAGCGTATATATTTATGACATTAGCATATAGACACTCATTGTCCATATCATAACTTTAGAATACACAATAAATTTACTTTATGACTTTCAGTACAAATAACCATTGTCTATTACATAACTAAAACACAAACCACACAAAATTGGAAATATGTGCTTGGTTAATTTAACAAAATATAAATTGTCAATGTATGAGAATAACACTGTAATTTATCCACTGAAACAGATTCCAATTGGCGTAAAGGGCAAAATAGCTGTGAAAATGAATATATGAATGGACCACTGAAAATCGGTGATGACATCAGGGATTCAGTTTCAGAGACCAATGAATGATATAAAACCGACATACATGAATATGTGAAGGACAAACCCCAATAATTGGGACGGTACATCCGAAAAAAAAATTTAAAAAAAATTCCTATTTATAAAATAATATCCATTTGTAAAATATTGACAATCCAGACAATGATCGTCCTGTAGGAGGTTTTGTGACAAAGTGGGTCTGCATAAAGGAGGTTAAACTGTGACAAGCAGCATAATACAAACCTAACAGCATCAAGGACTTTTCATCATATCCAAACGCATTTGATGCTGCACATGTGTAGTTGCCAAAGTCGTCGTCCTGAAGATTGTCAATACGCAGCAAGAGGGTGAATGTGTTGTCTTCTTCGTCATACAGATCCTGGCTGTACCGAGGCTCTGAGTCGACTTCTACCTTATAGCCATTCCTGTACCAGGCCGTTACCTCAAAGGGGTTCATGGTCACCAGACACTCCAAGATGGCCGACTTGCCAGCTTCCTGGATGATCTTCTCAACCGTCAGCTCCACATGAGGTCTCACTACAAACAATCCTTCAGTTTACAGACCCGTATTCTATTGTTTTAGATCAGGCGAAAAGGGCTTTAATGTTTCTTTCAAGATTATTTCACACATATAGTGACATGTATGCACATGCGTTTGAGGCTGCTTGTATTAGTTCTGACATATATATATAGTTTCCTAGTGCTACCCACTGAGATACCTGGCCTCAGTTTTAAGATGGATACTCTATTCGGACACATCCGAGCCGACCAGTACTTGTTTTATCCCCTTACTACTGAACACCAGGCAGGGTAACAACAAGTACCATCTTTTAACGTCATTGGCATGGCACAGCTAGGTCATCTGATCTTTCGCTCTTGGGAGTTTACAAAACAAGTGTTAGAAGTCATATTTAAAATGTTGTATAATCATTAGTCTGAACAGGCTTGTGACGTTTCAGCTTCATTGGTCCAATTGTTTGAGTCGATGCATTTTGAGAGACTTAAGAGCACGTTAAAAGTGCAAAGTCAAAGTCACAATTAAAAATATTTACGAAAACAGAACATATGTATCCCACTGTAAATACAGATATACAAAATTTAATTTCGGACCAATATGGTAGAGGTATGGCCACAAACAGTTTTTTTCAAAATGGCTGCCATGGCAGCCATTTTGAAAATCAGATCACAACCTCAGAACAAATTGTGATTTCACCCTTGGTGTGAATAAGAACGTTTCAGCTTCATCAATTTCAGAGCAGATGCTACACGACGGACGAAGGACAACACAAGTCAGACAAAGAGGCCAGGACATTAGCTCACTCAGGTGAGCTAAATAACTGGTCAACATGTAGTCTTCTGAGATGTTGGTTGTGAAATATGACCCTTACCACCGATAGTCAGCAACATGGTGAGACGAACTGCAGGGGGGATTTCGTTATAAGCAATGCACTCATAGCCTCCACTGCAGTTGACGGCAGCTTTGGGTACACGCAGAATCTCTCCAAACTCTCCAGAAACTAAAAATAGCAGAAACAAAGACATTGGTGTAAAAAGTGAAAGTGAGTCATTGCTGGCTACATTTCGGCAATATCACAGCAGCCTGATATTTATATATTGCTGCACTGTGAGTTTTGATTCAATGCCAGTTTATAATGTATTTCAGTTCTATCGTGACATGTTATATTAGTATCGGAAGAAAGGCAAAGAAACAAAGTTTCACAAATGTCTTGCATTCATTTCCATATCCTGTTTGATGCTGAATACAAGCAAATGATAATCCGGATAAATCAGGGATTTGAACCCATGACAAGCTGATTCGGGGTTCTAAGGGAGGCAACTCTTTAAGCGACCAATTGGAGTTGTGGTGCCTTCGACTTGGGTCCAGCTTCACAAAGGGATCATAGTGTTATGACTGTCGTAACTCCTACAGGTTAACAATGACTTACGATAATCGTAGCTTAAGAACTCCTTTGTGAAACGGGATCCACTGAGACCACATGGAGAAGGCAGTGAGGCAGTGAGGCAGTGACGGCAGGTGCAGTACTCACAGATTGTTCCTTTACAAAGTGCAGCTGACTCCTCCCTCCTCCATGTCACTTTGGGAAGGGGGTCACCAGTGACGTTACACACGAGCTCAGCATCCTCGCCTTCTTGTACGATGACATCGTTGTTTTCACTGTCGAGGATCCTTGCTGGGGCTGGGAAAGAAATGACATGTGTTAATGACAATGATTGTGCTCAACAACAGAATTCAATGAAATGAGAGATATTTACACTGAATTGTAAGATATTTACACTGAATTGTGGGATATTTACACTGAAATGTGAGATATTTACACTGACTTGTGAGATATTTACACTGAATTTAGGAATATTTACACTGAAATGTGAGATATTTACACTGCCTTGTGGGACATTTACACTGAGATATGAGATATTTACACTGAAATGTGAGATATTTACACTGAATTTAGGAATATTTACACTGAAATGTGAGATATTTACACTGCCTTGTGGGACATTTACACTGAAGTGTGAGATATTTACACTGCGTTGTGGGACATTTACACTGAAGTGTGAGATACTTACACTGAGTTGTGGAAATATCCACAGAAGAGTGAGATACTTACATTGAACTGTGAGAAAGACAAAGCGGGACAGACGGCGGTTGGTGTTGACTTGACATGTGTACAACCCCTCATCATCCACATTCACGTTTTCAATGTGCAGGTTCCAATCCTTGTGGTAGGGTTTATCAATCCTGAACCGTTTGTCTTCAGTGGTGCGTCGTGAGCGATACGTCAGCAGGCTCTGATTCTTGCCTCCAGTCCACACAACCTGGCAAATTAATACATGTCTGCTTCAGCTGAACGATCATACCTCCCAGGGATCACCTGTGTCTATATATTTAACAGTCCTCACAACCTGGCAAATTAATACATGTCTGCTTCACCTGAACGATCATACCTCCCAGGGATCACCTGGGTTTATATATTTAACAGTCCTCACAACCTGGCAAATTAATACATGTCTGCTTCAGCTGAACGATCATACCTCCCAGGGATCACCTGTGTCTATATATTTAACAGTCCTCACAACCTGGCAAATTAATACATGTCTGCTTCAGCTGAACGATCATACCTCCCAGGGATCACCTGTGTCTATATATTTCACAGTCCACACAACCTGGCAAATTAATACATGTCTGCTTCACCTGAATGATCATACCTCCCAGGGATCACCTGTGTCTATATATTTCACAGTCCTCACAACCTGGCAAATTAATACATGTCTGCTTCAGCTGAACGATCATACCTCCCAGGGATCACCTGGGTTTATATATTTCACAGTCCTCACAACCTGGCAAATTAATACATGTCTGCTTCAGCTGAACGACTATACCTCCCAGGGATCACCTGGGTCTATATATTTCAGTCCTCACATCCTGGCAAATTAATACACGTCTGCTTCACCTGAACGACTATACCTCCCAGGGATCACCTGGGTCTATATATTTCACAGTCCACACAACCGGGCAAATTAATACACGTCTGCTTCACCTGAACGACCATTTTTTGTGGTCCAAGGCATGAACACAGTGGTCCTAGATTGGCAACATGACGTACACTTAAAATGATTTCTAAGAATGTTTTATAAATCTTATTTGCACATGCTAAGAAGCCTTAAGCCAATTATAGAGGGGGGTTCAGGATTAGATTTCTGTGTATTTCATCCAGAATAAGTATGCTATATGTAACCTATATAATCTACAATTTTGAGAAATTTAATTATTCAAACATCAATGCTATTTTTGCCCCCCATATGACTCACAATGTAAATTGATTACAACCATTCTCAATTTGCATGCAAATAGGAAGCAATGCTTTGCCTCTGCGAAACCTGTATCCTACAAAATGGAGAAATGTGAAGACAGAATTTAAATAGAAAGCAAATTCTAACAACACAATTTTAGTGATCTCAATTCTTTTGATTTTGTGTGTGTGTTTTCAGAACCACACCCTGCAGTAGTCCAGCGGTATGGAATCGGGACCAGATAAACCTGTGATTAATATAGTGAACATCGTCTCATGTTGTCGGGGTATGATGCACGAAATCAACAAAGTCATCTAGCTTGAGATTTGGAACCATTTCGTCCCCTCGTACAACAAGCTGAGGTTGTTGGGGCTGATTCCCCACACCATCTGCCTTTGGTCATCTCTATTTGTCACAGGGGTGTTCTGGAGTATTCAGTTACCTGATACGAGCCGAGATTCTTCACCCCGCATGGAAGCACTGCAGTTGTTCCAGCTATAACAGTCAAGTTCTCGGACGGTTGGTCAAACATCGGTCCTGAAGATGGTGAATCGGCTGTAACAAGAGCAGAGTCCTGTGAAGCAGTCATAAAATCTTTCACACAAACCTCATCTTTGAATCCGCCTGCTGACTTCAACAAGTCTTAGCAGTTATATACAGTTGTTTGTTTGTTGTTTAACGCTGCACTCAGCGATATTCCAGCTATATGGCAGCGGTCTGTAAATAAACGCATCTGGACCAGACAATCCAGTGATGGTCATCATGAGCATCGATCCACGCAATTGGGATACGATGACATGCATCAAACAAGTCAGCAAACCTGATCACCCGATCCAGTCAGTCGCCACTTACGACAAGCATAGTCGCCTTTTACGACAAGCATGGGTTGCTGAAGACCTATTCTACCCTGGATCCTCAAAACTGAGATAGGCTTTTCATGGATGACAAAGACATGGTGGCTAGGTGTGTAGATATTTTCATAGAGTATTAGTACTTGTTCAGGCAGGATGACTATCTTATCACCAAATGTCCAGAACTAATTATTTCATAGCTACAGGCATCTGAATGAAAACTAGCATATTCATTTATTCGGACAAACTCAAATTCTCATTCATGAAATATATTTTTAGATTACCATTTTCTCGTTAGAATCCGAGATCAACGATATTCTGGGAGAATGCCTCGTAAATGTGTCACTTGTGCCTAATCCATTTGATTGTTTGCAATAAAATATGTTTAAGTCATATTTATAAATTTTAATATGAATCAGTCCTAGCAGATGTACAAGATCTAGTCACTAGTGATGCTAATGGGTAGATATTGCTTGAATTTGTTTGGGGCAAATGTCAGAGAAACACTAAAATGGGTAATAAATATTGGTTTTAAGGAAACATTTTCCAGTATTTGAACAAGAAAAGTCTTTGACGCAAGATAAATTTCTCAGGAAATGTAACACAAGAGAGTAAAAAATCTATGGTAAAATATAGAGCCACAATGCCCTGAAGCTCATCAATCATTGAGAAACTGAGGCCATGTTTTAAATAACATCAGAATTCTGCTAGCAAATTTGAGATACAATATCTCTTTTCACTCCACAACCTTGTAGGTTTTGAAATGTCAAATTTGAAGTAACATTGACAAAACTGGGTATATGAAGGTCAAAGGTTGTAGGTTGATAAAACATATAAATATGACAAACACACATAATATTCTGCATACTTGCTGCGTATAATATTTCAGAATGATGCATGGAAAAATAGCCGAGTAATATCCAAATATGACATTTTTAATAATGCTGTCATGGCAGTCATTTTGAATATGAGATAAGAAATCTGTGAGCATTTTTATTGGGATCGCTGAGATCATTCATACAAATACAGCTTTATTTGTCTGTTACTGACAAATGGATGGATGGGCCACACACTTCACCTCAGTATACAGATCAGGAACACTTACCCTTCACATTGAGGAACACGCTCCTGACAATAGGGTTTTTCCCATGCACCCGACATCGGTAAATTCCGGCATCCCGATATTTGACACTCTTTATCTCCAAGTTCCATGCTTTTCTGTCTCCTTTCTTCTGAATACTGAACCTATTGTCTCTGGCCACGATGCGTCTCGCCTGCGACAAGTACGTCTTCCCATAGATCCACATCACCTGAGATGATTAAAAGTGGTAACCATAGGAGACAGTTTCGAGTTGTTCAGAGAGTTGGGTTTTAATTCTGCCCAGTTTATATATATACATGTATTACTCACCTGTGAAGAGATCACTCATTTAATAAACATACAGCTGTATAACACATTGTGTAATACCAAAGTGCGTGCTCATGAACTTTGGGAACAAGTTTCACTAACAAATATTGAAAACTCTCAACATCCCTGGACTTATTCAACGACATTGCATGTAGAGATGATAGATCACTGAGAGGAGCTTATGCACACCAGATGACCCAAGTAACACTGTTGCTAGCCTGACGTCACATGGCATTGTTTCGCCGGTGGATCTTGCAACAAAATTTCACAAAATACGTCAAACGGTATTTTGGCGTGATTGTAAACTTTGTGATGCAGGGTCCAATTCCACAAGGCAATCGCAGCGCACAACAGTCGTTATTCTCTGTTTGGAGTTCCGATAACCTCAGCGCTAATATAGCTTTGTGGAATTGATGCCTGAATTCAAAAGGTAGGCCGTTGGTATGGTACTAAATTAATACGTGTTAACTTTTGATATATTTGAAGTATTATTCTGTTAAACTCAATGAATAGTCCCTGAAAACATATAACTTTGATAGAAACATGCAGCTACATATAACTTGAAAAGAAGTCCCAGTGAGATGGGAGATTCAGAGCCTGTGGAATATGTAGACTTCCTTCATTTAGGGCAAAAGCATTACAGTAAGGATTGGGCGATTCAGGGGCTGTGAGACCGACTGGGGCATCGTTCTCAAGCATGGATACAGTGGGTTTGAATGGAAGGCGTGTATTTGTGGTTTGGCAATTGGTTATAGCATTGTAATATGCTTACATGTACATGTTCCTTTATGAAACTTGCCCATGTTAAGATGTCTAGTACAGAGGGTTTGCTTCAAACAGAGGGTGTGTATCCTCTGCACCTTCCATCTGGACCTGTGTATTGTGCCAACAAACCAAGGATCATAGTCTGTTTGACTCAGGAATTCAAACTCACTCTCATTGGATCCTGGAATGCCTAAGGGAAGCAACTTTGCACAGCATATTGCGATACTTTAAATAGGGCATGACCACTTTTCATTGTTCTCTATATCTCAGTTTTACTTGAATGTGATACGAAATCTCAAGTCATGACAATCTCATCCTTCCACGTGCATGTTCAAAGACATCATTAAACATTCGCATGCTACCCACCTTGTTGCTTCCAAGATTTTCCACGGAGCAGGGTAGAAGGGCTGTCTCCTGCTCCATCACTGTCACGTTCTTGGAGGTCTCCACAAACCGAGGCTCGGTGCTGGTCGGCCGCTCTGAGACAGCATGACACATTTCACTTTAATGATATGATAGATCACCGACACACTTTTTCACTCTTGACGTTTTTTACAAACCAATTACAGTAAACTACGGTTATAACGAACTCAAAGAGACTACTAATTTTAGTTCGTTATAACCGTAGTTCGTTATACAAACCAATTACATTAAACTACGGTTATAACAAACTCAAAGGGACTACTAATTTTAGTTCGTTATAACCGTAGTTCGTTATAAGCATATATACAGCATAACTACAGCAAATAGTCAGGACCAAAAAGTAAGTTCGTTATATCCGTCAGTTCAATGTTCGTTATAACCGTAGTTCGCTATAAGCATATATACAGCATAACTACAGCAAATAGTCGGGAGAAATAAGTTTGTTATATCCGTCAGTTCATTATAAGCGTGTTCGTTATAACCGTAGTTTACTGTATTCACATTTCAGCTTAATTTGAACACATAGTTGTTAAGAAATGTTCAAAAATTGTGTTTTATCATTAGTGGAAGGGAGGTGGAGATCCTTCTTCCATGACTGGACAAAGAAAGCAAACCGTCGCATGGTATTCCTCCATTTGTAATAACCCTCTCATGTAGCAAAAGTTCTTTATCATGAAAAGACTGCTTCCATGGTCTAGTAGTAGAGCATCTGCCCGGAGAGCGGGGCTCAATCCCCAGCCGCGTCATACCAAAAGACGTTAAAAGATGGTACTTGTTGTTACCGTGTCTGGCGCTCGGCATTAAGGGGATAAAACATGGACTGGTTGGCTTGAAGAAAGTATACTGTGTCTGAGTGGGGTATTCTTGTTCAACTGCGGCATGGTATCTCAGTGAGCTAGCACTATAAATCGGCATCAGTTTGGACTAGTACAAGCAACCACACGCACGCACGCAAGCATGCATGCAAGTTGCTATATGAGTGCAATAACTTTGTACATGACATTATACCCAATTTCACCTCACCTTATCATGAAAATTACATTCATTAGCTTGAGGAACCGGACATTTATTATGTGTGTGTGTGTCAGAGGGATTGGGGTTGCTCACCAAAAGATATGACAGTTTCAATGGGATTGTCATAAAAAAATACACACATAATTGGGGAGGGTCATGAAAATAATAAATTGATATTTCATAATAAAATATAACACATTTTTAGGGAACAGATTATTTTATAAAAGTTAATGCCAGGCCCCCACCAGAATATAAAATATAATACTGCAAATATGTTGCTTCAGGAAGAACAACATAATTTTGGACTGATTCCCATTTTGACCTTGTTTCCCATTTAATGTCTATAATATTAATATACCTGGCCCTGGGATCATGAAATCAACTTAAGACCAAATTTTGTCTTAAATCGGGGATCACGAAGCTCAATCTATGAGAATATCTTAAGTCTAAGACAAAATTTGATCTTAAGTCCTAAGACTGCCCCTGAGTAGACTTAAGACAAAATTCATGCTTAGCAAAATTTGAGCTAAGACCACTTTCATGATCCCAGGGCCTGGTCTGACTGACAGGCTCTGTCTATTATCTCCGCCCAGAAATAATTGATGCTTCATCACAATTTTTGAAAGTTAACTAGATCACATATTTGTGTTTTCCACAGTTTGAAAGAATCCACATGGCAGGCAGACTATGGTTGTTGGCAGTGTTTCATGGCGCCTTGTTGCAATTAGTTGCCTGTTATTCTTGTCAGCTTTGCTACAAACAAACCCTCCTGACACTGACCTAACAGTAAACATCGACATCATGAACACATCAACACGTGTCCGAACTTTCAGAAAGACATACTGCAATTTTATTATTAAAAATACATCAGGAAAAGAATAATGCATGGGCACAACTTGTTTATATAAGCAATTTTCTGTTGCATAGATATAATAATATAAAAGATAGATATATAATCTAGGATAGTTTATTTCAATGGAGTGCAAATTCCTCAATTCAATTTTGAGTTCCTATTCTTTTTTGCAGTAGCTTTAAACTCGGAAACCCTCTTTAGTTGGAGATCACTCACATACAATATAGACCGCCTCCGTGACTAATGGTAGAGCGTCCGCCCAGAGAGCGGAAGGTCCGGGGTTCGATCCCCAGTCCCGTTATACCAAAAGACGTTAAAAGATGGTACTTGTTGTTACCCTTGTTGTTTAAGGGGCTAAAACAAGGACTGGTCGGCTCGGAGTCCGTATACTGTGTCTGAGTGGGGTATTCATGTTAAACTGCGGCATGGTTTCTCAGTGTGCTAGCACTATAAATCGGCATCAGTCCAGACTAGTACAAGCAGCCACACACACACATATACACGTGCATGCATGTCGCTATATAAGTGTAATAATCTAGGACGCGACGTTAAACCCCATTTCACCTCACCTCACCTCACATACAATATAGTTTTGCAGGCAGATGTTTTAAACTCAGATGCATATTTACCCCATGCCATTTTCTTTTGAACAATGGCGTATTTCCATGCTACCCGTGAATGCTACCCATATACAGCTTGTGGTGACATTGAGGCTGTCCGTGGGGATTCAGGGTTAAAACAGATCTCCAGCAGCTGTAAGAGCTCGAGGCGACCAGATGCATGGTAGGCAGGCTTGGTGACTTGGTTTATTGTGTATGGTCGTACCCGACTGTGGACCGTTGCTCACAATATCAGTTACTAAATTGTCTGGTCCGGATCAGTAATATAAAGGCCACTGTCATATAGTTGCAACATTGCTGAGTGCAGCATTACACACAAACAAACAAACATTCAGGTATTGACAGGCATGGACAGTTGGAATTAATTGGCAGAAGCTCTCATAAAATCTACTGATGTGACAACAATGATTATTTGTGAGTCACCATTGGCAATAATAATTAATGACGTGTATGACCACTGTTACAAATTATAGTGTGAATAGGCTCGGGGGGAAGGGCAGACCTGGAATTTTATGTCATTATTTGCAAACTGAAAATGTATCGTGTACATCAGTCTATCAGGTCCTGACGTCCTCCGTTCAGGCCCTGACTACCTCTGTTCAGGTCCTGACTACCTCTGTTCAGGTCCTGGCTACTTCTGTTGAGGTCCTGGCTACCTCTGTTCAGGTCATAACTACCTGTTCAGGTCCTGACTACCTCTGTTCAGGTCCTGACGACCTACGTTCAGGTCATGACTACCTCTGTTCAGGTCCTGACTACCTCTGTTCAGGTCATGACTACCTCTGTTCAGGTCCTGACTTCCTCTGTTCAGGTCATAACTACCTCCGTTCAGGCCCTGACTACCTCTGTTCAGGCCCTGACTACCTCTGTTCAGGTCATAACTACCTCCGTTCAGGCCCTGACTACCTCTGTTCAGGTCCTGACTACCTCTGTTCAGGTCATAACTACCTCTGTTCAGGTCCTGACTACCTCTGTTCAGGTCCTGGCTACCTCTGTTCAGGTCATGACTACCTCTGTTCAGGTCCTGGCTACCTCTGTTGAGGTCCTTGCTACCTCTGTTCAGGTCCTGACGACCTACATTCAGGTCATGACTACCTCTGTTCAGGTCATGACTACCTCTGTTCAGGTCATGACTACCTCTGTTCAGGTCATGACTACCTCTGTTACACAGAGACAATGTCACTAATGCAGACCTGCCCTGAGAATGTGGACCATGCCACTTTTTAAGGGTTCCAGAAGTGCCTGGAGAGTATGAAGTGCTGGGGCGTATGTTCCCTGGAGAGTATGAAGTGCTGGGGCGTATGTTCCCTGGAGAGTATGAAGTGCTGGGGCATATGTTCCCTGGAGAGTATGAAGTGCTGGGGCGTATGTTCCCTGGAGAGTATGAAGTACTTGGTACCATGTGTTCCCTGGAGAGTATGAAGTACTGGGGCATATGTTCCCTGGAGAGTATGAAGTACTGGGGCGTATGTTCCCTGGAGAGTATGAAGTACTGGGGCGTGTGTTCCCTGGAGAGTATGAAGTACTGGGGACCGTGTGTTCCCTGGAGAGTATGAAGTACTGGGGCGTATGTTCCCTGGAGAGTATGAAGTACTGGGGCGTATGTTCCCTGGAGAGTATGAAGTACTGGGGGGTACGTTCCCTGGAGAGTATGGAGTACTGGGGCGTATGTTCCCTGGAGAGTATGAAGTGCTGGGGACCTGTGTTCCCTGGAGAGTATGGAGTACTGGGGCGTATGTTCCCTGGAGAGTATGGAGTACTGGGGCGTATGTTCCCTGGAGAGTATGAAGTGCTGGGGCGTATGTTCCCTGGAGAGTATGGAGTACTGGGGCGTATGTTCCCTGGAGAGTATGAAGTGCTGGGGCGTATGTTCCCTGGAGAGTATGAAGTGCTGAGGCGTATGTTCCCTGGAGAGTATGAAGTACTGGGGCGTATGTTCCCTGGAGAGTATGAAGTACTGGGGACAGTGTGTTCCCTGGAGAGTATGAGGTGTTGGGGGGAATGTTCCCTGGAGAGTATGAAGTGCTGGGGACCGTGTGTTCCCTTGAGAGTATGAAGTACTGGGGACCGTGTGTTCCCTGGAGAGTATGAAGTGCTGGGGACCTGTGTTCCCCGGAGAGTATGGAGTACTGGGGACCGTGTGTTCCCTGGAGAGCATGGAGTACTGGGGACCTTATATTCCCTGGAGAGTATGAAGTACTGGGGGGTACGTTCCCTGGAGAGTATGAAGTGCTGGGGGGTATGTTCCCTGGAGAGTATGTAGTGCTGGGGGGTATGTTCCCTGGAGAGTATGAAGTGCTGGGTCGTATGTTCCCTGGAGAGTATGAAGTACTGGGGACCGTGTGTTCCCTGGAGAGCATGGAGTACTGGGACTGTGTGTTTCCTGGAGATGATGGAGTACTTGGCACCTTATATTCCCTGGAGAGTATGGTGTACTGGGGACCGTGTGTTCCCCAGAGAGTATGGTGTACTGGGGACCAAGTGTTTCCTGGAGAGTATGGAGTATTGGGGACCGTGTGTTCCCTGGAGGGTATGGTGTACTGGGGACCAAGTGTTTCCTGGAGAGTATGGAGTATTGGGGACCTTATATTCCCTGGAGAGTATGGTGTACTGGGGACCGTGTGTTCCCTGGAGAGTATGGTGTACTGGGGACCAAGTGTTTCCTGGAGAGTATGGAGTATTGGGGACCGTGTGTTCCCTAGAGAGTATGGTGTACTGAGGACCAAGTGTTTCCTGGAGAGTATGGAGTATTGGGGACCGTGTGTTCCCCGGAGAGTATGGTGTACTGGGGACCGTGTGTTCCCCAGAGAGTATGGTGTACTGGGGACCAAGTGTTTCCTGGAGAGTATGGAGTATTGGGGACCGTGTGTTCCCTGGAGGGTATGGTGTACTGGGGACCAAGTGTTTCCTGGAGAGTATGGAGTATTGGGGACCTTATATTCCCTGGAGAGTATGGTGTACTGGGGACCGTGTGTTCCCTGGAGAGTATGGTGTACTGGGGACCAAGTGTTTCCTGGAGAGTATGGAGTATTGGGGACCGTGTGTTCCCTAGAGAGTATGGTGTACTGAGGACCAAGTGTTTCCTGGAGAGTATGGAGTATTGGGGACCGTGTGTTCCCCGGAGAGTATGGTGTACTGGGGACCGTGTGTTCCCTGGAGAGTATGAAGTACTGGGGACCGTGTGTTCCCTGGAGAGTATGGAGTACTGGGGACCAAGTGTTTCCTGGAGAGTATGGAGTATTGGGGACCTTATATTCCCTGGAGAGTATGGTGTAGTGGGGACCGTGTGTTCCCTGGAGAGTATGGAGTACTGGGGACCAAGTGTTTCCTGGAGAGTATTGAGTACTGGGGTGTGTGTTCCCTGGAGAGAATGGAGTACTGGGGCGTATGGTCCCCGGAGAGTATGGAGTACTTGGGACGGTGTGTTCACCCGGAGAGTATGGAGTACTAGGGACATGTGTTCCCTGGAGAGTATGGAGTACTCGGGACTGTGTGTTCCCAAGAATCACGTGAACATGGGAGAATTAAAGTTTTGAAATATTATTCTCTTTAGTTATCAAGAGAAGTACAAAGTGAGAAGAGAAAGCTTTCCCTGGCTAAAATAGAAACTTACAGATGACAACCATTGTAGTGCACCTATATGCAGTATCTCTACTCACCGATGACATTAACAGTAGCTTCCGACACCCCGAACCTGTTTGAGGCACGGCATGTGTAGGCCCCGAAGTCCTTCCGCTGTAGCGACCCAACCTTCAAGGTCAAAATAGACGTTATGTTGTCCACGTCCTCAATGCCGATTTCATATTTTTCTCCGGTCGGTATATCCGAGCTGTTGAGAGTCCACATCATCAACTCCTGTGGGTATCCCCGGATGCTGCATGACAGCATGATGCTCTCCCCTGTCGACTTGGTCAAGCTTTGTTCAGAAACCTCAGCCACAGGAGGGCCTGTAAGATGGAAACACAAAAAGTTATACCCATGTGTATCGGCCAATACATCTTTTTTGTTGCAGAACTAAATGTTATTTCATTGGCCAAGGCAACAAGAGTTTGGGTATTTTTGGGTAATAATAATTATTTACCTTTTTCATTTAAAATGATGTTCATATATGACACTAAATACTAACTGAAATGGACTCAAAATTTCACCAAATATATTCTAAGAACTTAAATCGTTTCCAAATGCCTCTTCCTCCATTCTGCCCTGGTGGCACAGTGGTAGTGTCAGTGACATGCAGCAGGTTGTGAGTTTGTGTCCCAGGTAAGGACATCAATTACATACCATATTGGACGTAATAAGCACCCTGCTCTAATGAGCCCCCATGGCAATATTTGCTAATATATTGGCAAGTGAACAATCCCAATTAGCACCCCTTCTGATTGATCAATGTACACAAGACTTATTTATTCGTGTATAATACCCACTCATGTGTTATATGCACCCTTAATTACGGGCAATTAAATTCTGGAAAAATGTATCTCTTGTATCTAAACAGTCCGGCCGTTAGCATAAACCATGAAATTTATCTTTCAACTCAATTTTTTCCACCAAAATAACATTCTAATAAGAGCCCCCTATTTCTAATTTTGAGAGCGCCCCCGGTGCTTATTACGTCGAATACGGTAATTGTTTTTTTTGCACTTTTTTCAATATCAACGCAAACGTCTGAAAGTTTTTTTCCATAAATATAACCTCATAATAAGAAGACTTAAGGGTCGGTCCATTTGATATTTTGGGTGTGTGGGTTGTAGGCTTGGGATTACTTTACAAAAGATAATTTGTTCCTAAAAAAAATGGAAAAAGAAGAAGAAAATTTTGCCTCGGGTTTCAAACACAAATACATTGTTCACTGGACACCTTCCTTGGATGTTGTGAAAAACAGAAATCTACTTACTGCCCACATGTAGCACGACAGTCTTGACCATCGGCCTTGGTGTGTTGACCTGGCACATGTAGGTTCCGGAATCAGCCTCCGTCACATCGCTGATGACCAGGTCCCAACTGTGGGCCATCGATCGCTCAACGTGAAGACGGTCATCTCCAGACATCCGTGAGTTTCCAACTGTGAGGACATCCGAGTCTTCATCCAGCCAGGACACCTGCAGGACAAGACAGAAAGATTAACCTGTGACCACGCTGTTTCTGCTGTGAGGGCTGAGCTGTGATAGATTTTACACACCGACTGCTGTATCCTGCACAGGGAAAGAACAGAGTTCACATGAAACAGCATGGCAGTGGAATATACGATACAGGCAATTTATATTTTTTCAATTTTCAAGGGCACAGATGGCCCAGTCGTCTAAGGCGCCGCAATTTGCAGTGCAGAGTTGCGTCACTCGGACACGCCAGAAACCTATATATTATGGGTTCGAATGCCGGTTGACCCTGATTATATTTCTCGGTTTGTCAGCACCATACACATGCTCTTGGGTTTCACTTAAATGGTAAACGTCTGAGACCTGCATCACTTTGGGCTTTCCTTCGACATGAAACTGACACGCTGTGATATAACTGGAGTACTGTTAAAAGAGGTGTTAAACCCAACTCATTCACTTTAAATTTTCAGTTTTAGTGTAATATATTTATATCAAGTGGGGATGGTCAGGCAGCCTAGTGGTTTAAGCATTAGTTCGTCACGCAGTAGACCTGGGTTCGATTCCCAACATTTGAACAATGTGGGAAGCCCATTTCTGGTGTCCCCTGCCGTGATATTGCTGGAATATTGCTAAAATCGGCATAAAACCAAACACACTCACTCACTCACTCACACACTCACTCACTAACCCTTTCATCTGAGTAAGAAAATATGAACCCAGTCTCATGTACATTATTAACAAGGTCAGAGTCAGTGAGTGAGTTGGGTTTAACGCCGCTTTTAACAATATTCCAGTTATATCGCGGCGTGCCAAGGTCAAAGATGTTGTGTCAAGTAAATCTATTAATAGATGTTGTGTCTAGAGTATCTGTTGTATAATAGTATATGCATCATTCTGTGATGAGTGTATGAGTGCGGTTTAACATTCTTTTGACAGTATTTCACATATACCAGTCAAAAGAGGTTAGGACCACCCAATTATGTCATATTCCTGCAGTAAATCTGTCATCCCATGTCAAATTAACTATAGTAAAATGAAAGAATCAGGTGTTCTTTAACTTCCTTTGAGTAGTTTACATCACAGCGTGCAAGGGTGCGAAACCCCGAGGTGGTGGAGGTCCTAGATGACATAGTCAAGGTTCATCTGGGATTCGAACCCAGATCGGTATTTCCTGGCAGCTAAGCTTTAGGCATCTAACTTTGCAAAGGGAGTTGTAGCTTCATAGTCTGCTGGCTTACCAACATCTTTATATTTTTGGTGTTTTTCCTTCATTATCGTCTTGCTCAAAAACACTTTACTATTGACATATCATCCTACATGGAATAAGAAATTTCCGTGTTATTTCCTGTAAAAGAATTTGCCTTTTTTTAAAGTTGAGAATAGTCAAAAACTTTTGGTAACAGTAACTTTTTTGTCTTTGAGACATAATTTTGTCATATGAATTGAATATTTTCTGTAACTTGAAATTATGACCAGTGAGCCCTCCAAAACCAGGGTAAGAAAATATGGCTGAAGTTGGTTATGGACATTTCACGGAGCTATGTAGTCCTGCGCCATGACTGTGGAATTTATATACTAGTATATATTTTTTTACTTGAACCCTAGGCAACTCTAGCTCAAACTATACCAAGTCTAGTTTCCTTGATTCTACATAACGGTATATGAAAACAGCAGAAGAAGAAAGGTTCTCTTGATAAAGAACAACAATTATTTTAAAGAAATGTTTTCACAGACCAAGTGTTAGCCAAGGAGCGACATTGTAATACACCTATACTGCCTAAGAATGTGCTCAATATACAGACCAAGTGTTAGCCAAGGAGCAACATTGTAATACACCTATACTGCCTAGGAATGTGCTCAATATATAGACCAAGTGTTAGCCAAGGAGCAACATTGTAATACACCTATACTGCCTAAGAATGTGCTCAATATACAGACCAAGTGTTAGCCAAGGAGCAACATTGTAATACACCTATACTGCCTAGGAATGTGCTCAATATACAGACCAAATGTTAGTTAAGGAGCGACATTATAATACACCTATACTGCCTAGGAATGTGCTCAATATATAGACCAAGTGTTAGCCAAGGAGCAACATTGTAATACACCTATACTGCCTAAGAATGTGCTCAATATATAGACCAAGTGTTAGCCAAGGAGCAACATTGTAATACACCTATACTGCCTAAGAATGTGCTCAATATACAGACCAAGTGTTAGCCAAGGAGCGACATTGTAATACACCTATACTGCCTAAGAATGTGCTCAATATACAGACCAAGTGTTAGCCAAGGAGCAACATTGTAATACACCTATACTGCCTAGGAATGTGCTCAATATACAGACCAAATGTTAGTTAAGGAGCGACATTGTAATACACCTATACTGCCTAGGAATGTGCTCAATATACAGACCAAGTTTTAGTTAAGGAGCGACATTGTAATACACCTATACTGCCTAGGAATGTGCTCAATATACAGACCAAGTGTTTTAAGTCCATCCCCCCACCACAATGATATCGATAGCTGTGTCTGACATGGAGGGACTACTGGTATCAACAACTCTGTGTGGTTACAGGTGAAACCATCACCACCAACACAGCTTAAATTAATACAGATAAACTTAAAACATACACTAGGGACAGTCTGTTTCCAATTTGATTTTTAAAAGTAATTGAAAACACCTGAGATACATATATTTTTTCTCTCTTTGATGTGTTCAGAATGAAATTTTGTTGTTGTTAAAAACGAAAAAATATTGTTAGCTGGATATGACTGATATCCTGAAAAAATATATTGTAAAAAATAAAAAATACAGCTACTTCTTCATGACATTAATCCCCCTACTCTCTACCTCACAGGGCTGTCGGGTAGCCTAGTGGTTAAAGCGTTTGCTCGTCACGCCGAAGACCCCGGTTCGATTCCTGACATGGGTACAATGTGTGAAGCCCATTTCTGGTGTCCCCCGCCGTGATTTTGCTGGAATATTGCTAAAAGCGGCATAAAACCATACTCCTTCACTCACTCACTCACTCTAATTTACCTAACCATTTCATTAAATGAAGTCCAACTGTAAATATGTCAAGTTTATGTTACCAGTAATTGATAAAATGTTGTAGTTATTTTAGTTGTCTATATACAGGTGAGTATTAGGTAAACTGAAGCAAAACAATGTCCAACATTTGTTTCAAATGAAAGTGAGCAATGTTTTCTATAACATCAGTCAATAATTTTGCATCTGGTCAGAAGAGTGAGTGAGTTAATAATGAACTTTGTTGGGGCAATATTTCAGTGATATTGGTCAAAGGATGTTAAATTGCTAAAGGTATGTGTGATGGCAGCTGAAGTGGCTCTGTGACTTCATCATATAATTTGCAAATGACCATTGAAGAACATGGACGGGTAAGCACGTATTTTACTGGACATTTGCCATTTTCGTTTGCTGCACCTGACAGCCTTCCTATTTGATTTATTGGGTTATACAGCCTAAAATAAGCAGAAATATTGACTTTCCTTGCATGTATATGGTTTTATATGATTAAACCTTGAAACTGAATCTCTAAGCAATTCATAATCAATACAAATAGGACGTCAACAATGAATAATTACTCTAATATAGAAGTTCCATAATGGTGTGCTGTAACCTCATCAGTAGCATCCCTCGGGAGCACATTTCAACAAACATGCATTCTTTATCAACATTGGTAACTAAAAATTACTTTCGCTTATGAAACCATGTAATCCAAGTAGTTGTATGGGGGCAAGCTAAAAATGGCGTCTGAAAAAACATTATGAATACTGGAAGGAGCTTGTGCACATCACTTACCAAAATGGCGGAAGGTGTTCAGTAAAATGTATTCTTGCAAAAAGCTGTATAGAATATATTTGCAACAGGCAAAAATATGATTTAAAATTCCTGTGTGAAGTTAGGGAAAAGAATTGGGGCCTTGAAGGTTTTTATAAGTTTCCAATCCTACAATGGTTGCACAAAATGGGAGGAGTACAGAAACTGAAACATTACCATACATCTATCTGCATGATGACTCACCCTGGTCTATCATCTTACATGATTTGGAATCTTGGAATCTTTCAGTAAAAAGTGACAGGTTCCTTTTAAATTATTTTTTGTCATTTGGAGAATGAGAAATAAATCACAACATGTCTGTGAAAGAGCGAAAAATAGACATTGGGGAATTACTTTTTTGGACAGAATTTTTGAAAAAAAAGAAGTTTTTTCTTCAACCAACTATCTTGGTATGTGATGTGGGGTGCTAGGGTTACTTGACCCAGGAACAGTTGGTGGGGGAAGGGGAGGGAGGGGGGGCATTGACTGACTCCCACAATTAGCTGTGTCAGGGAGAGCAGCTGTCATGCCACTCGCCCAGGAACCCGCTAAATAGCTGTATTTATTGGCAATAGTGCCCCACACCACCCAGCTGGCCGTGATAACACATATAGTTCGGAATGTTTGTTCCTCAGTTGGATATCTATCAAGGCACTGACCGATGGTAGCTGGTCCTGACCTTCAGAAGCACAAAGGTCATGTAACCAGTCACTTATGGCTGATTAGAAGGACCATTGGGAGATTATACAGGTTTTTTTCTTCTCAGATGTCAACTGATCCAAAAGGTGACCCATAAACATAGCTGAAGCATGCTAAACTATTTGGCTAACAATAACAATAAAATAACAAAAAATAAAATTTAAAAAAATAAGAATTGCTTATTTTTCATCTGTTGACTAACTTCAGTAACCCTTCATTTGACTTAAAATTGTCAATTAAGAAGTTACTTCACTTCACCATAAACAGTTTTACTTGGAGATCACATTTTCAAAAATCTTTATCTATTTTAACCACGACTTTATGGTTTGAGTAAACTCGAAACTGTATACATGATCAACAAGATTTTTCTGTTCCTTCCAAACAGGTGAAGAGTTTTGGAAGAAACATGTATGTGTCAACACTTTATTTCAAAATATTTTCACAGTCTTAATGTGTCCAAGTTTTTCTCTTAATCAAATCAATGAACTAGGAACGCCAGTTATTAACTGTAACTGATTAAGCATAGTTGATGTACCTTATACTTTCCCAGGGACTGAACCGTGCAGGGAAGGGCTACAGTGGAGCCAGGTGAGGCAGAGATGTTCTGAGATTTGGCATCAAACGATGGTGTTACAGAACGTGGCGCTGAAACAGACATCATACACATAGAATGGGTTCCATGTCTGGATATGTGGGTCTATAGACTTGGATACTAGCAACAGTGAGTGTTAGTATAGGCCTACCAAAGAAAACCAGCAGATGAACCAAAATATGTTATATGTACACACTTTAAATAGAACAGCCACACTTATTCCAAGTTGTATGCTGATATTCTTTAATAGGCCTGTTATGTAGTAAAGTAGACATATAGAAAAAATTTACAAATTTGAAGTGACAAAAATTATCTAAATTTTCTATTTTGACTTGTGCCATATGTTCCCATGTTTTATCAGGTGAACAATTAACTTGCCTTTGCATGTGTTTGTGATGTGTGCAACAGTGTGGCAGGATACGCTCACCTTTTCACAATCACATGCTCATGTTATAGTAAGAATCATACAATGGACTCTTACTTTAGCAGAGATGTCTTATGATTATGGAAAGGGTATTATGGCTTTTATATACCAATGGAATCAGAAGTTTTGATTAAAATAATGAATTTTATCCCTTTTTTTAACTAGAATTCATAAAAAATGCGAGAATGAATGTGATCACAAATAACATGTACCCATATAGTTTAGTATTTCAAAGGAAACATCAATGCAATCATGAATTGTATTGTTATAGTTATAGTATACAGAATGTTTGTTTGTTATTTGTTTAACGTACACTCAGCAATTTTCCAGCTGTATTATGGCAGTGGTCTGTCTGTTATCGAGTCTGGACAAGACAATCCAGTGATTGACATCATGAGCATCGATCTATGCAATCTGGATACGATGACATACATAAACAAGGCTAGCGAGTTTGACCACATGATCCCATTAGTCGCCTCTTACGACAAGCAGAGTCGCATCTTATGAAAAGCATAGTCGCATCTTAGGCCAAGCATGGGTTGGTGATGACCTATTCAAACCCGGATCTTCACAGGTTAGTTCTCAGATTAACCGCCTCTGTGGTCTAGTGGTAGAGCATCCGCCCGGAGAGCGGAAGGTCTGGGGTGCAATCCCTGGCCGCATCATACCAAAAGACGTTAAAAGATGGTACTTGTTGTTACCCTGTCTGGTGCTCGACATTAAAGAGCCAAAACAAGGACTGCTCGGCTCGGAGTCGGTATAATGTGTCTGAGTAGGTTATTCATGTTAAACTGCAGCATGGTGTCTCAGTGGGCTGGCACTATAAATCGGCATCAGTCTGAACTAGTACAAGCACACACACACACACACACACATCATGAACATCGATCCACGCAATTGGGATACAATGACATGCATCAACCAAGTCAGAGAGCCTGCCCACCTGATTCCGTTAGTCGCCTCTTGCAACATGCATAGTCGCCTTTCACGGCAAGCATGGGTTGCTGAAGACCTTTTCTACCCCGGATCTTCATGGGCCTAACAGAGGATACAAATAAATAAGCTTCATTCATTGCTTAAAACGTGACATTACAGTAAGAATTCTTCTTCAATTCAAATTTTGGCTAATAAGGTTACACTGTACTGCATGTAAACATAAATTCTAAAAATCTGTTTTGTTCAAATCCCTCACCATTCAGTTTGATTGTAGCAGTGTTCATGCCAAACTCATTGACAGCCTTGCATCGATATTGTCCATAGTCGCTTTCCCTGATCTTCTTTATTCTGAGCCTCATGACTCGGTTGAAGTCTCCCCTCTTGAGTGTCTCCATGGAGTGTCTGTTGTCAGGCTTCACCTCTTCCTCCCCCTTCTCCCACACCACCACCGGCAGGGGCTTGCCGCTCACCAGGCACTCCAGCTTCGCCTTCTTCCCTTTCGGCTTTGTCACATGGCTTCGTGCTGCCTTCATGGTGGGGGAGACTGACAACATAAGAGAGAATATTTTATTTTTTTGTGAGTTAGTAATTAAGTGCTGGTTAGTGTACTGCACTCTGCAGCCGCATTTGTTTGTTTAATGTTTTTCAAATTTGTTTTATTACATCTTAAATACTTCCCAAACTTTCTGGTCCCAGTAGACTGTGGAGAAAAATCGTCAAACGTTTTTTCTGCTGAATATTAACAGATTTTCTTATACAAGGATATTCTATTCATGTCATCATGCTAAATATTTGATATTTGTGTAGTGGTTACCATACAACTAATGTTTGATATGTGTATTAGATTTTCCACACAACTATTGTTTGAAATTGATATTGTATAGATGTTTCCACACAACAAGTTTTGATTCTTGATATTTATGTATAGATTTGTACACAACTATATGGTTTGATAGTTGCTGTTATGAATTAGCAAATTAGGTGAGCTACAAAGGGGTAACATATTCTATAGTCCTGAAACAATGGCTTCACAAACCCCAAGCAACAAGACAGGTTACAGGGTACAAAGTTCTTCTCTCCCAGCAAGACTTAAGTGAAAGGACAGATTACAACATAACACACAACAAAATTTCGTGTGTTTTCTTCCAGTGTGCGTTTCACCAAGACAGAACTCTCAACTCCACCCTTGACATGAACAAAGAACAACCCATCAGATAAACCTATCACTCAAGTTCAGAATGTTTGCCTAATTCTCATCTTCATCATCAACTCAGCAGCTTGTCTTGTTCCCAGCACCCTATGTTTGTATCACTGTCAGCATCAGCAGCACCTTGCGCCGCACCCCCACCCCTCCCTCCCCCCTCACCTCCACTGCACCCTCACATTCGCTGTTTGTGCAAGGGGCTCTGTGTATCTGACACCGGGGTTATTTGAGAGTCCGATAACCAGATGCAATGGTGCTTCTATAACAAACACTACGCCTTCGCACACACCTGGTGTTGATAATTAACTGGAGGAGACTCTCAGAGACTTCTCAGGGAAACTACCTACCAATGTCCATGTTCATATTTCACTGAAAAACAGGCTTCAGAAGTTCTTTGTGAAAATAAAATTGATTATTTTAACTGTGATAAATGGGAAATATTTTTTGCAAGATGACTTAAGTTAGCTTTAGAAAATTATTTGGAAAAGGAACAGATTTTTCTTACATGTGATGTAGATCAATTGGAAATATTTTTTCTGGGCTAAAATATTGTCTTTTCATCCTGCCAGTAATACCACCGAGGGTTTTCATTGTGAGACTTAATATATATGTTGGCTCTACAGGTGAAATATTAATCAAAACTGTATGGGGCTCTGCGGGAATATTTCTTATAATACACACTCCCATCCCATAGTGAGTCAGCCACACAGTGATGAAAAGGGGAAATAACTGTATGTGTGAGGTATCAGTTGATGTGCTCACAGCTTATTTGCCGATGGGATGTGCAGATATGTAATACACAGTAACCTTGTCAAAGGTACATTAACAGTATAGCTGGCAAATATCTAGTTTCCATATAAATACTTACCATTTTACTACTCAGAGTTTGGTAGGGATGTTCATCTATTTCATATTATTATACCACTCAAGTTTGATAGGGACACAAATCAATGTTTGATAGAGATACACACATACATGTATTTGATGTCATTATACTACATTACGTGTGATTGAGATAGCTAGATATTTGATAATATTATACCACCTTAGCTTTTATGGAGATATCCGGATATGTGATATCATAATAATACATTATGTTTAATGGAGATATCCAGATATTTGATATAATTATACTACATTACGTTTGATGGAGATATCCGGATATTTGATATTATTATACTACGTTATGTTAAATGGAGATATCTTGATATTTGATATTATTATAGCACTTTAAGTTTGATGGAAATCCGGATATGTGATATCATTATACTACATTAAGTTTGATAAAGATATCCAGGTATTTGATATCATAATACTACATTACGATAGATAGAAATTTCCAAGTATTCGATATTATTATGCTAGCCGATGTTTGATGGAGATACCCGGATATGTGATATCATTATACTACATTAAGTTAGATAGAGATATCCTGGTATTTGATATTATTTTATAACATTATGTTTAATGGAGATATCCAGATATTTGATATTATTATACTACCTTAGATTTGATGAAGATATCCAGTTTTGTGATATTATTATACTACCTAACGTTTGGTAGATATATCCGGATATGTGATATCATTATACTACATTAAGTTAGATAGAGATATCCAGGTATTTTATATTATCAAACTACCTGAAGTTTGATGGAGATATCCAGATATATGATATAATTATAATACATTAGGTTAGATAGAGATATCCAGGTATTTGATATTATTATGCTACCTGAAGTTTGATGGAGATATCCAGATATATGATATAATTATACTACATTAGGTTAGATAGAGATATCCAGGTATTTGATATTATTATGCTACCTGAGGTTTGATGGAGATATCCGGATATGTGATATCTTTATATGACCTAAGGTTTGATGGAGATATCCAGATATTTGATATCCCTTTACTACTGAAAGTCTGATAACTTAATCTTCAGGAAAGAAATATGATGTTTAAATCAATTTGTTATTTACAAATATAACTGATTTTTATTGCGACATTCTACATGAAGGTCAACCTTCTTCTTTGAAAGATGTTCGAGTCTCTGGTCTGGTAGGATGAATAAGATTTGTAAGGTTTGTTTCAGAGGAAGAACACTACAACATTTAGTTAGTAATAAGATATTACTGTACTGCTCAAGTTGAATAGGAATATTCAGAAATTACTATACCGGTACTATTCATGTTTCATATCCAGATATTTGTTGATGATATAAATGTGTGGAAGCGTACCATGGCCCGTGTTGGAGAGATAGGCCTTGAATGATGTGCTTGTGACATAAGGAATGCTACTGAGACTGGAATACTTACAACCCACATTGAGTGTGACGACTTTAGTGAGTGGAGGGTTGGTGTTGATGATGCAGCTGTAGGTGTCCTCGTCATCCAACACCACGTCCGTGATCTGCAGCATCCATATTCCATGCTTCCCACGTCGAAGAACGAATCGGTTGTCCGACGTTACTCTTGCATCACCAGTTGTTAAAACACCCAACTTCCCACTCTCCCAGCTTATCTGAAAGCAAGGGAATTTCAGCTTGACAAACTATATTGTGACATAAATGTAACACCAAACCTTAGGAGTCATTTCAGTTACTGCAGTAGTACATTGATAGTTAATACAATCAACTAAAGTTATGCAACTATTCCGACTGTAGTTATAATACTATTTTGCAACCTGTTGCCATTGCAATGACACTATATATCACCTATCATCCACTGCATTGGTGTTCTATATCCCCTGTCATCAACTGCAACGACACTATATATCACCTGTCATCAACTGCAAAAACACTATATATCACCTTTCATCAACTGAAAAAACACTATATAACCTTTCATCAACTGCAACGACACTATATATCACCTTTCATCAACTGCAAAAACACTATGTATCACCTTTCATCAACTGCAACAACACTATATATCACCTTTCATCAACTGCAACGACACTATATATCACCTGTCATCAACTGCAATAACACTATATATCCCCTGTCATCAACTGTAACAACACTATATATCCCCTGTCATCAACTGGAACAACACTATATATCACCTGTCATCAACTGGAACAACACTATATATCACCTGTCATCAACTGCAACAACACTATATATCACCTGTCATCAACTGCATTGGTGTTCTTTATCACCTGTCATCAACTGCAACAACACTATACATAACCTGTCATCAACTGCAATAACACTATACATCACCTGTCATCAACTGGAACAACACTATATATCACCTGTCATCAACTGGAACAACACTATATATCACCTGTCATCAACTGCAATATCAACTAAATATTGCTGGAATTAAAAAAAGAAGAAAAATTATACTACTCAACGTCCTGCCGATGTCTTTAAAACAAATTTCAGTTGTAGCTAAAAGGAAAAGAAAAAAAGAAACTGCAATGGCAATGTATATCACCAGTCATCAATTCCAATGATGCTCCTTATGGTGCTTAATATATAGAGGAACCACAATAGAACTTTGTCGTCAATTGCAATGAACCTATATGATGTAATGATGTAATGTAACCTTTACTTGTATATTGTATATATACGTTGTAATCTGTTGCAATTACATTACATGTCACCTAATAGTTTCCTGCAGTACTGTTGTGTGAAAAGTCATGTATGGAATGTCCACCATGTTATATAATACTGGACACTAACTGTATAGTTTTGTATGGAATGGCCACAATGTTATATACTACTGGACACTCACTGTATAGTTTTGTATGGAATGGCCACAATGTTATATACTACTGGACACTCACTGTATAGTTTTGTATGGAATGGCCACAATGTTATATAATACTGGACACTCACTCTATAGTTTTGTATGGAATGGCCACAATGTTATATAATACTGGACACTCACTGTATAGTTTTGTATGGAATGTCCACAGTGTTATATAATACTGGACACTCACTGTAAAGTTTTGTATGGAATGGCCACAATGTTATATAATACTGGACACTCACTGTATAGTTTTGTATGGAATGTCCACAGTGTTATATAATACTGGACACTAACTGTATAGTTTTGTATGAAATGTCCACAATGTTATATAATACTGGACACTCACTGAATAAAGTTTTTAATGAAATGTCCACAATGTTATATAATACTGGGCGCTCACTGTATAGATTTTGTATTGAATGTCCACAATGTTATATAATATTGGACACTCACTGTATAGCTTTGTATGGAATGTCCACAATGTTATATACTACTGGACGCTCATTGTATAGTTTTGGATCGAATGTACACAGTATTATATGGTATACTCACTGTATAGTTTTTTATGGAATGTACATAGCAGGGCAGGCCCACATTTCCTCCATCCTCTACTGTAATTGTCTTGGATTCTGCAGCAAACTGGATACTATCTATCTCTGAAACAAACATGAAGGCCTGACGTTAAAGGCTGGGATTAGAGCACAATTTATCAAGGTTATTGGAAACGGCAGTAAAAATGTAAAAGTAATCACGTGTATGTCTTTCTGACAATGGGATAAATGCGATCCTGTATTCATGGTGTGGTTTCCCCAGAAGTCCATAAAACTGCTGCCATGTCTGATCTGTATTGATATGTCTGAACCAGTATGATCAGAGACTGATCTGTGATGATATGTCTGAACCAGTCATTTCAGAGACTAATCTGTGATGATGTGTCTGAACCAGCCTGACCAGAGACTGGTCTGTGGTGATACGTCTGAACCAGTATGATCAGAGACTGATCTGTGGTGATATGTTTGAACCAGTCATTTCAGAGACTAATCTGTGGTGATATGTCTGAACCAGTATGATCAGAGACTGATCTGTGGTGATATGTCTGAACCAGTATGATCAGAGACTGATCTGTGGTGATATGTCTGAACCAGTCTGATCAGAGACTGATCTGTGGTGATATGTCTGAACCAGTCTGATCAGAGACTGATCTGTGGTGATATGTCTGAACCAGTCAGTTCAGAGACTAGTCTTTGGTGATATGTCTGAACCAGTCAGTTCAGAGACTGATCTGTGGTGATATGTCTGAACCAGTATGATCAGAGACTGATATGTGGTGATATGTCTGAATCAGTCTGATCAGAGACTGATATGTGGTGATATGTCTGAACCAGTCTGATCAGAGACTGATCTGTAGTGATATGTCTGAACCAATCAGTTCAGAGACTGATCTGTGGTGATATGTCTGAACCAGTCTGATCAGAGATTGATCTGTGGTGATATGTCTGAACCAGTCTGATTTGAGACTGATCTGTGGTGATATGTCTGAACCCGTCAGTTCAGAGACTAATCTTTGGTGATATGTCTGAATCAGTCTGATCAGAGACTGATCTGTGGTGATATGTCTGAACCAGTATGATCAGAGACTGATCTTTGGTGATATGTCTGAACCAGTCTGATCAGAGACTGATCTGTGGTGATATGTCTGAACCAGTCTGATCAGAGACTGATCTGTGATATGTCTGAACCAATCTCGTGAGAGACTGATCTGCGGTGATATGTCTGTGTTAGTCTGATCTATGGCAAATATAACAAATAATTAGTTTTGGGTTGTGATCATTTATGAAGCTAATTTACAAATGATTCACCAAAAGAGCTGCTGTGTGAGTAATATAATACTTTAATGAGTTATTGACATGCCATGGCATCCAAGGTCATGACTTTACAGGAGTCAAAGATCAAATGTCACACCACCCACATTGCTGCTTGATAGACTGTGTCAACTGCCACCACCAGGGTTAGATTCCATTACAGTCTCCTTGGGAGCAGCAGCCTCTGCACTGACTTACAGGAGTCTGTTTTGATACCCCACGCCTGGAGCCTCACATGCGATCAACGGTGTCTCACATGTGATCAATGGTTGTCATATATATCTGATCAATGGTATCTCACATGTGATCAACGGTGTCTCATATGTGATCAGTGATGGTCATATATATCTGATCAATGGTGTCTCACATGTGATCAACGGTGTCTCACATGTGATCAATGGTTGTCATATATATCTGATCAATGGTATCTCACATGCGATCAACGGTGTCTCACATGTGATCAATGGTTGTCATATATATCTGATCAATGGTATCTCACATGCGATCAACGGTGTCTCACATGTGATCAATGGTTGTCATATATATCTGATCAATGGTATCTCACATGTGATCAACGGTGTCTCACATGCGATCAACGGTGTCTCACATGTGATCAATGGTTGTCATATATATCTGATCAATGGTATCTCACATGCGATCAACGGTGTCTCACATGTGATCAATGGTTGTCATATATATCTGATCAATGGTATCTCACATGTGATCAACGGTGTCTCACATGTGATCAATGGTTGTCATATATATCTGATCAATGGTATCTCACATGTGATCAACGGTGTCTCACATGTGATCAATGGTTGTCATATATATCTGATCAATGGTATCTCACATGCGATCAACGGTGTCTCACGTGTGATCAATGGTTGTCATATATATCTGATCAATGGTATCTCACATGTGATCAACGGTGTCTCACATGTGATCAGTGATGGTCATATCTGATCAATGGTATCTCACATGTGATCAACAGTGTCTCACATGTGATCAATGGTATCTCACATGTGATCAACAGTGTCTCACATGTGATCAATGGTATCTCACATGTGATCAATAGTATCTCACATGTGATCAACGGTGTCTCACATGTGATCAGTGATGGTCATATCTGATCAATGGTATCTCACATGTGATCAACAGTGTCTCACATGTGATCAATGGTTGTCATATATATCTGATCAATGGTATCTCACATGTGATCAACAGTGTCTCACATGTGATCAACGGTGTCTCACATGTGATCAATGGTTGTCATATATATCTTATCAATGGTATCTCACATGCGATCAAGGGTGTCTCACATGTGATCAATGGTTGTCATATATATCTGATCAACGGTGTCTCACATGTGATCAATGGTTGTCATATCTGATCAATAGTATCTCACATGTGATCAACGGTGTCTCACATGTGATCACTGATGGTCATATCTGATCAATGGTATCTCACATGTGATCAACAGTATCTCACATGTGATCAACGGTGTCTCACATGTGATCAACGGTATCTCACATGTGATCAACGGTGTCTCACATGTGATCAGTGATGGTCATATCTGATCAATGGTATCTCACATGTGATCAACAGTGTCTCACATGTGATCAATGTTATCTCACATGTGATCAATGGTTGTCATATATATCTGATCAATGGTATCTCACATGCGATCAACAGTGTCTCACATGTGATCAACGGTATCTCACATGTGATCAATGGTTGTCATATCTGATCAATGGTATCTCACATATGATCAACGATGTCTCACATGTGAACAATGGTAGTCATATCTGATCAATGGTACCTCACATGTGATCAATGGTATCTCATATGTGATCAACGGTGTCCCACATGCGATCAATGGTTGTCATATCTGATCAATGGTGCCTCACACGTGATCAAATCAGTGGTATCTGATTTGAGATAAATGGTATCTCATGTATGATCAATGGTATCTAATCTGTCATCAATGGTATGTAATTTGTCATCAATGATATCTCATTTGTAACCAATGGTATCGCATTTTTTATCCATGGTATCTCATATTAGATCAATGGTATCTCATCTGTCATCAATGATATCTCATCTGTAACCAATGCTATCGCATTTTTTATCCATGGTATCTCATATTAGATCAATGGTATCTCATCTGTCATCAATGATATCTCATCTGTAACCAATGCTATCGCATTTGAAACCAATAGTATCTCATGAGATCAAAGGTATCTCATATTAGTTCAATGCTACCTAATTTGTTATCAATTTGGTCTCACGTGTAATCAACGATATCTCATGTGTGAGCAATGATTTTGCACGTGATCAATGGTGTCTAATTTATGACCGATTTTGCCTAACTTATTTTCAATGGTGTCTCTTTGCGTTCAATGGTGCACCAGTTGTATTAAGTTGTGTCTAACATCAGTGGTATCGCATGTGGTTAGTGGTACACCATATGAAGTCAATCTGGTCAATTCATCAGGTGAATAGTTTCTCCACATGGTAGGTATATCAATGATAGCAAACAATTAGCCAATGGTATCATCCATCTACCCAATGATGTTACACATCTTGCAAGCAGCCCTGGTAGTTTAACGGTTACAGAAACTCCATTCATCAATTCAGGACCTAATTTCTAGTGACGTGTCTGTTATTACAAGTACTTCCCTAACTACTGATTCCCTTATCTATCTCAAATGTTTATCATAAATGACATCTCAAACATAAGTGCATCAAAGGTTAACCTACATCTGTCGGAGAAGCCTTCATCTCAACAGACGTTCATACATATATATTGGTTACTTCAGACACATCCCCAGTGCATTGTGTGTCAAGAGACAGCAATGCTGGCAACGTTATCTGTCGGTGTTGAGTATCGTATACCTTCTAACAATACCCATGGTCTAATGAACTCTCCTTGTTCCACACAACATCCAATCTACCAAGCTGTCATAAGTAATCTGTATTGCCATTTATTATCTGACTAGGATTACTGGACTAACATTTAGTCCCAGAAATATAAATATCCTATTTAAATATAAATATACCAGCAGAATAAAAAAGTAAAATCAGAATGGCGCCCAGAAAATGCTTAAACACCTGGTATCATCACTATTTAATTGTGATACACAAACTTATGTTCATAATACAATCGACCCTTATATTAGAGGAGGGTTCTTGTGGCTATGGAAAGGTTTTGTCGATTTATTTGTGCAACTGAGGATGCACGTTTTTCACTATTTCTCAAAAGGAAATGATGTCATAAGAAAACACGCTATCGTATTTCTGAAAGGAACGATTTGTGACCGGTGGGAATGCTGTTATTTTCAACTTTTCCGCGGGTTGGTGCTCAATTGGAAATCGGTCAAGGTCTAGACGGTAAAATTAGTGCAGTGCATGTCTGGAGACCATCTCTCTGTAATTAGGGTAACGATTAACTGCTAGATTGGTGCAAGCATGCACATAATAATATTTCAGGTAGTAGACAAAGAGTGTAAGAAAAGACTGGAATCAGCTTTCAACCACTGGCAATTGACCCGAGTATAGTTCATCCTTAAAAAGGAATAACTAAAGTCTGGTTTAGGTGGAGTATTGAAACCGCACAGCGACGAATACGGAATTATTTGAGACACATAAGGGACCAGTTCAAAAGTTCGATGTCGGATAAAAAAGTTAATTTCTTAAGTTTTGAGACATACCCCTCCCCGTATCCCCTAAAAATTAATTCTAAAAATGTTGCATTTCCGAGTTTAGTAGCCTCCATTGCCGTGTATTGCCCTGTT